TAAAAACCTCACTTCTTCGGATGCATTCGAAGAAGTGAGGTTTTTACTCACGAAAGCTTATGCCCAAATAAATCTGTTAGTCTTTAAGGTGCCACCAGACTCCTTGTTGTTTTGTAGATACAGACTAACACGGCTATCCCCTGATACTTGACAGATTGAAGTGTCACTAGAGGAGGTTTTGGAATTAATTGATAAACTTAACATTAACAAGTCACTGGGACCAGATGGCATTCACCCAAGAGTTCTGAAAGAACTCAAATGTGAAGTTGCGGAACTATTAACTAAGGTTTGTAACCTGTCCTTTAAATTGGCTTCTGTACCCAATGACTGGAAGATAGCTAATGTAACGCCAATATTTAAAAAGGGCTCTAGAGGTGATCCCGGCAATTACAGACCGGTAAGTCTAACGTCGGTACCGGGCAAATTAGTCGAAACAATAGTTAAGAATAAAATTGTCCGACACATAGAAAAACATAAACTGTTGAGCAATAGTCAACATGGTTTCTGTAAAGGGAAATCATGTCTTACTAATCTATTAGAGTTCTTTGAAGGGGTCAACAAACATGTGGACAAGGGGGATCCAGTGGACATAGTGTACTTAGATTTCCAGAAAGCCTTTGACAAGGTCCCTCACCAAAGGCTCTTACGTAAATTAAGCTGTCATGGGATAAAAGGGAAGGTCCTTTCATGGATTGAGAACTGGTTAAAAGACAGGGAACAAAGGGTAGGAATTAATGGTAAATTCTCAGAATGGAGAGGGGTAACTAGTGGTGTTCCCCAAGGGTCAGTCCTCGGACCAATCCTATTCAACTTATTCATAAATGATCTGGAGAAAGGGATAAACAGTGAGGTGGCAAAGTTTGCAGATGATACTAAACTGCTCAAGATAGTTAAGACCAAAGCAGACTGTGAAGAACTTCAAAAAGATCTCACAAAACTAAGTGATTGGGCAACAAAATGGCAAATGAAATTTAATGTGGATAAATGTAAAGTAATGCACATTGGGAAAAATAACCCCAACTATACATACAATCCGATGGGGGCTAATTTAGCTACAACAAGTCAGGAAAAAGATCTTGGAGTCATCGTGGATAGTTCTCTGAAGATGTTCACGCAGTGTGCAGTGGCAGTTCAAAAAGCAAACAGGATGTTAGGAATCATTAAAAAGGGGATAGAGAATAAGACGGAGAATATCTTATTGCCCTTATATAAATCCATGGTACACCCACATCTTGAATACTGCGTACAGATGTGGTCTCCTCATCTCAAAAAAGATATACTGGCACTAGAAAAGGTTCAGAAAAGGGCAACTAAAATGATTAGGGGTTTGGAACGGGTCCCATATGAGGAGAGATTAAAGAGGCTAGGACTCTTCAGCTTGGAAAAGAGGAGACTAAGGGGGGATATGATAGAGGTATATAAAATCATGAGTGATGTGGAGAAAGTGGATAAGGAAAAGTTATTTACTTATTCCCATAATACAAGAACTAGGGGTCACCGAATGAAATTAATAGGCAGCAGGTTTAAAACAAATAAAAGGAAGTTCTTCTTCACGCAGCGCACAGTCAACTTGTGGAACTCCTTGCCTGAGGAGGTTGTGAAGGCTAGGACTATAACGGGCTTTAAAAGAGAACTAGATAAATTCATGGAGGTTAAGTCCATTAATGGCTATTAGCCAGGATGGGTAAGGAATGGTGTCCCTAGCCTCTGTTTGTCAGAGGGTGGAGATGGATGGCAGGAGAGAGATCACTTGATCATTACCTGCTAGGTTCACTCTCTCTGGGGCACCTGGCATTGGCCACTGTCGGTAGACAGGATACTGGGCTGGATGGACCTTTGGTCTGACCCAGTACGGCCGTTTTTATGTTCTTATGTTCTCCTGGCCCTGCTGTGTGGGGGAGTCACAGCCCCAGGTCCCGAGCTCTCCTGGCCCTGGTGTGTGTGTCACCCAGAGATGCCATGGAAGGCAAGTGTTGGTTTCCCTGCAGCATGGGGAGTCGGGGGCAGCGTGTGCCATGTGCCTTGGGCTCTAGGCTGCTGTCTGACCTGCTTTGTGTCTGATTTTAGGGCTGGATCCTGCAAACACATAGGCTTGCTCTACACGTAAAACTTATACCAGGATAGCTGTGTGGACCCCCGCCCCCACAAACCCCCCAGTGCAGACGCAGCTCTGCTGACAGAGTGTGTCCGTCGTTCAGGGCGGTTCCTTCACTGGCAGAGCTCCTCCTCCTGGCGGCGTGTGCCGTGTCTAGACTAGGGACGTGGCAGCCGAGAGCATGTCTAGCTGGGCTGAGAGACAGACTTGCACTAGCTTCGCACAAGCTAAAGTGCCAACAATAGCCGTGTGGTGGTAGTGACGTGAGCGGCGCTTCGGGCTAGCCACCCGAGTCCAAGCCCCCTGACCCTCCCGGGTCTGAGCTCGGGGGCTAGCTAGCCTGAGCCGCCGCCTGCCACAGCACCTGCTCTGCTGTTTGTAGCACACTAGCTCAAGCGAAGCCAGCCCAGGTCTGCCTAGCCAGGCCGGAGGCTCGCTTCCAGCTGCAGTATCGCATACCCTAAGCGGCCAGGCCGGCATAGGCTCTCCCCCCGTGGAGTCGTGGCCTTACTCCTGGGCCTGAAGTGCCTGGGACTTGCACGACACCCAGGCCAAGGTGTTTGCAGGGTCGATCCTTCTCTTACAGGCAGAGGCAATGCTTGGGGGGCCACGCGGGGTCACGTGCCCCCCTGATTTCTGCCAGGGTTTGCGTGCCCGGCCCCCTCCTGAAGCTGGTGAGCTGCAAGCTGCGGCTGCAGGGAGGAGTGTGACTCAAGCTTTAAATTGTGCCCCCCTCCATCAGCAGGTACCAGTTGTCTCAGCTTACAGGCCCCTTGGGATGGGGACTTGTGGCATCAGGTTCGTTTGACAGAGCTGGAAGCATGCAGCCGATGGCTGACAAGCAATGATGCAATGGCTGAGCCCTCTATCACCTGTCTGTTCTCAAGCCCCTCTGCTCTCTCCTCAGGGATAACTGCATTCAGCCAGCACATCAAGAAACGCACCAAGGGCCTGCGCAGCCTGAACTTCTCTAGGACCTCGCTGACCGCCAAAGGTATATATAGATATAGATATATAGAACCATCGACCTGGAAGGGACCTCGAGAGGTCATCTAGTCCTGTCCCCTGCACTCATGGCAGGACTATTATCTAGTCCATCCCTGACCGGTGTTTGTCCAACCTGCTCTTAAAAATCCCCAATGATGGAAATTCCACAACCTCCCTGGGCAATTTATTCTAGTGCTTAACCACACTGACAGTTAGGAAGTTTTTCCTAATGTCCAACCTAAACCTCCCTTGCTACAACTTAAGCCCATTGCTTCTTGTCCTCTCCTCAGAGGTTAAGAACAATTTTTCTCCCTCCTCCTTGTAACAACCTTTTATATACTTGAAAACTATCATGTCCCCTCTCAGTCTTCTCCAGACTAAACAAACCCAATTTTTTCAATCTTCCCTCATAGGTCATGTTTTCTAGACCTTTAATAATTTCTGTTGCTCTTCTCTGGACTTTCTCCAATTTGTCCACATCTTTCCAGACATGTGGCGCCCAGAACTGGACACAATGCTCCAGTTGAGGCCTAATCAGCACGGAGTACAGCGGAAGAATTACTTCTCGTGTCTTCCTTACAATACTCCTGCTAATACATCCCAGAATGATGTTTGCTTTTTTTGCAACAGTGTTACACTGTTGACTCATATTTAGCTTGCGATCCACCATGACCCCCAGATCCCTTTCCGCGGTACTCCTTCCTAGGCAGTCATTTCCCATTTTGTATGTATGCAACTGGTTGTTCCTTCCTAAGTGAAGTACTTTGCATTTATTTTTATTGAATTTCATCCTATTTACTTCAGACCATTTCTCCAGTTTGTCCAGATCATTTTGAATTTTAATCCTATCCTCCAAAGCACTTGCAAACCCTGCCAGCTTGGTATCGTTCGCAAATTTTCTAAGTGTCCTCTCTATGCCATTATCCAAATCATTGATGAAGATATTGAAGAGAACTGGACCCAGAACCGATCCCTGCGGGACCCCACTCGTTATGCCCTTCCAGCATGACTGTGAACCACTGATAACTACTCCCTGGGAACGATTTTCCAACTAGTTTTGCACCCACCTTATAGTAGCTCCATCTAAGTTGTATTTCTCTAGTTTGTTTATGAGAAGGTCATGCGAGACAGTATCAAAAGCCTTATTAAAGTCAAGATATACCACGTCACCTGCTTCCCCCCTATCCACAAGGCTTGTTACCCTGCCAAAGAAAGCTATCAGGTTGGTTTGACATGATTTGTTCTTGACAAATCCATGCTGACTGTTACTTATCACCTTATTATCCTCTAGGTGTTTACAAATTGATTTCTTAATTATTTGCTCCATTATCTTTCCGGGTACAGAAGTTAAGCTGACTGGTCTGTAATTCTCCGAGTTGTCCTTATTTCCCTTTTTTATAGATGGGCACTAGATTTGCCCTTTTCCAGTCTTCTGGAATGTGTCCTGTCTTTCATGACTTTTCAAAGATAATCGTTAATGGCTCAGATATCTCCTCAGTCAGCTCCTTCAGTATTCTAGAATGAATTTCATCAGGCCCTGGTGATTTGAAGACATCTAACTTGTCTAAGTAATTTTTGACTTGTTTTTTCCCTATTTTAGACTCTGATCCTACCACATTTTCACTGGCATTCACTACGTTAGACATCCAATCACCACCAACCTTCTTGGTGAAAACCGAAACAAAGAAGTCATTAAGCACCTCTGCCATGTCCACATTTTCTGTTATTGTCTTTCCCCCCTCATTGAGTATCGGGCCTACTCTGTCCTTGGTCTTCCTCTTGGTTCTAATGTATTTGTAGAATGTTTTCTTGTTTCCTTTTATGTCCCTAGCTAGTTTGATTTCGTTTTGTGCCTCGGCTTTTCTAATTTTGTCCCTACGTACTTGTGTTATTTGTTTATATTCATCCTTTGTAATTTGACTGAGTTTCCACTTTTTGTAGGACTCTTTTTTGAGTTTTAGATCTCCTGGTTAAGCCAGGGTGGTCTCTTGCCATACTTTCTATCTTTCCTACGCAGTGGGATAGTTTGCTCTTGTGCCCTTAATAATGTCTCTTTGAAAAACTCCTCGCTGTCTTTCGGACTCTCTACAGGAGCCAGAGGGCTCCAGGCTAGCACGGGCAACCTTCCCACAAGAGTGTGAAAGGGGGTGTCGGGGCTGCCTTGGCCTGCATGTCCCCTGGAGCCCCCATGCTGGGCCTCAGGCCTCTTTGAGCAGTGTCCCTCTGCATTCCCCTTGGCAAGGGGCCGGGCTTCAACAGCCCAGTCTAGCCCTAACTGTGGAACGACTGCTCTCGGTCCTGAGACAGCTCTGCTCCCTCTTGGCTTGGGCGCTGTCCATGGGCATGTGCAGGGGGCCCCTTTTCAAAGTCAGGTGGCCAAAGGGCTCTGCTGGGTGCTCTGGACATGATGTGGGAGGGCTGGTTCTCGGAGTCCCAGAGGCCCCCTAGAGGGGTTTAAGGAGAGAATTCCGGTGTGGGATGGTCCCTCTTCACCTGCCGTCTCTTGGCGGTCTGGGTAGGGTGACCAGACAGCAAATGTGAAAAATCAGGACAGGGGGTGGGGGGTAATAGGAGCCTATATAAGAAAAAGACCCAAAAATCGGGACTGTCCCTATAAAATCGGGACATCTGGTCACCCTAGGTCTGGGACAAGCAGGGCTCTGGGATTGCAGGGTTTCTAACATGACAATGTCCTTCTCTACTCTGCGTCCACTCTTGGGTCCCCAACACGCTCATCGGCTTCTCCTCCCTTCCCTCGGGCAGGAGTGAGCACTTTATGCCAGTCCCTTGCATCTAATGGAATCTTCAGCACCTCACTTCAGCACCTGGATCTCTCGGGGAATCCTGGCGTCCTTGCCACGGACGATGCCAGCGTACGTATAAATAGCTCCCGGCAGGTAGGACAGTCCAAGCCAGAGAAACGCAACTAAAACCCGAGCAGCGTGTACAGTGAGCTGAGATGTGTCTCTTCTCTCTCACCCTGGCTCCGGGCAATGGGAGGTTGCCGCTCAGGCATACCTGCTGGGGTGGGGCTGAAAGTAGCAGAGACCACATGGCAGCACAGGTCTTGCTGCATGTGGGTGTGAACTCAGATTGCTAGCCCGCTCCGGGGTCCATGCTGCTCTTGGTCCCCAAGCTAGCTAGATATGCCTGCCCGAGCCGCAGTCACACCTCTGATTGGAGTGGAGACTCTCTCTAGTGGGTGTTGCATTCTCTGGAGGTTTAATGGTTTAGGTCAGAAGAATCTGGCCCATCAGCTGGGTCTGTTGTTGGGGTTTGGTCAGGTTTTTGGGTTGCCCTCTTTGTCATTTGGTGCCAAAATGTTCAGAGGGGACTATTGCTTTTTGGGTGCCCAGCTGAGACCCTGTGGACCCCGTGCCCAGCCCCCACAGCTCCTGTGGACTCCAGTGGGAGCTCAGTGTTTTCAAAAGCCCCCAAATCGAAGGCCACTCTTGGCAAATCTATTGCAGGTCACTTTGGCCAAGCAGCCAACTCCATTTCAGCTTCCCCCGGCCTGGCGCTGCTGCCCAGGGGAAGGAGCCGATTGGGGAGGAGGAGGTGCCTGTGGGAAGGAGGGTCTGGGCTCACCCCCAGGCTGGTCTGTTTCCTTCTCCACTTTCTTGGGCTGAACGTTAACCCTGCTAAACCCCAGGAGAAAGGCTGTCTGCCTGTGAGCCAGGCTCGCTCCTGATGTCCTGCATTTGGTCCCCGGTGCGAGGAGATGCTGCCTCCAGAAAAACCCTTCCAGCAGACCCTTAAATCCACATCTTCTCTCCCCACAGAGCTTGCACAGCTTCCTCAGCCATGCAAACTCGGTGTCTCACCTTAACCTGGCCGGCACAGACTGTGCTTTGGATGCAGTAAGTAGCAAGGGGCTGTTCTCCCCTCATCTGTGCCGAGGTGGCCGGCTCCTGAGACCTTCCTTCTTGCCATCTGCGTCACTGCAGCCCCTGCCGTGTGCCTGGCCCTGCAAACCGCAATCACTGTGCAGGTTGTGCAGCCCAAGAGACAGACGAGTATATTTCTGCCTCCCAGGGCTGGTCCTTCCCATCCCCGGGTCTCTGTCCTCCTTAGGCAGAGGCAATCGAGCTGCTGGTGCCTGCAGAACTCCCAGGCCTGGCTTAGCTCCAGCTGAGGCAGAAATGTACTGCAAGTCTCATGCATTATTGATCAGGAATGAATGAATGCAGCAGGTGCTTCAGCTTCAGATGTAAATCTTGGCTCTGGCACCCAGGGTTGGAACAGCCTCGGCACTGTAATTTGTGGCCGGACCTTAAATTACATCAGATATTGGTGCTTTGGGATCGCTCCCTCCGCCAAAGTTATGCTTCCAGATGAGTCTTCCAACTCCTTGCATTTCCCGCGCTGTCACTGCTGCATGCAGGTCTGGTTATTTACCCTGGAAAGGGGGAAGCATCGTAAAATGCTGGTTTGCTCTGGGAAGTGGGTCTCTGCGATCGGCCGGTATGCTTATTTAAACAGCCAGCCTTGCAGACTCCTCTGGGGACTCAGTCAGCTGGTCCCGCGTGCCTGCCTTCTGCGGGCCAAAACACACCTTGTGGGACCCCTGCCGCCCCACTGCCTCCAGCTGCAGTGCACATTGCAGCGGCTAGGTGCATAGGGTCTGGTTTTCAGTGGGAGCTGCAGGTGCCGACATCTCGGAAAATCAAACCGTTAATCACCCATTCTGTGGCTGGCTAAGAGGGACTCGGACTCCGGCTCCCTCTCCCTGGGCTGGCCGGCCCTGCAGGGCCCGTGGGAGAAAAAGCAGCAAACGTGTACCCAACTCGCTCGAGTCGCCAGTTCTGCCCCGAGACACGCAGGGAGCCGTTTTGGACGCTCAGTCACTTTCTATAGCAGAGCCGCATGTCCTAGCACGCAGGGACTTGTCTGTGTCAGACAACGTGACCAGTAGAGTGCAGAGGGTTAATGACAGAGGAAGGCTGGCCCAGTGGTGAGAGCGCTAGTCTGGGACTTGGGCAACCTGTCTCAATTCCCTCCCCCGCCCCAGCCTTCACCTTGGCTCTGTGCCTCTATTTCCCCCTGTATGCAGTGGGGGTAGTAGTCCTGCCCTGCCTCATGGGGGGTGCTCAGATACTGTGGTGATGGGGGGGCCATATAAATTGCTTGGCTGGATGCATAGAGACAGCACACGGCCAGGCCTAGTGGTCAGGATCTTTATCGCCCGCCCATCTGCGGTGTGTGCGGGGGCTGTCCAGTGCCCAGAGGCAGCCCCGGCCCCCAGGCCATGACAGCAAGGCTTGTGCCCAGTGAGCAGCGGATGGCTCTCTGAGCTGGGTGAGGGCTGCTGCAGCATTTCCGCCTTTGGAGAGTTCGCCCTGGTGGCCTTTGTGGGAGGACTGGTCTGGGTGGAGAGGGAGGGAGACTTGCTTTGTGTGGGAGAAATGACTGAGGAGGGAGAGCCAAGGGGGGGAGACTGAAAAGGATGGGGGAAGCTAGGTGGCCCTTTCTGGCGTCCCCACTGAAGGGGGAGTAGCAGGAGTAGCTTGGGAAAGGAAGCCCTGTAAACAGGGTAGTGTGGCCAGGGTGGGGAGGGCAGCTCCCAGCTGTGCATGGTGCGTGGTCCCAGAAGCATGAGGGCGGGGGAAGCTCAGGCTGTCCCGCGGGGGGCAGGTCCCCCCAGACCTGCTTTTCCCGAAGCGTTCTATCGCTCTGCAGCGTGAGAAGGGCTGTGTCTAGTGTGGGGAGGAGGGCTCGTGGCCCGTGGAGCTATGCTGGACGCTGCCTGGTTTAGAACTGGGGCCTGGCCCAGCCTGTTGGTCTCATACACTTCTAATTTCCATTTCAAGCTGTTCGGAGCATTGGCCATCGGATGCTGTGCCAACCTCGCCCACCTGGATCTCTCCAAAAACGTGTACTTGCACAAGTAAGCCTCAGATTCGCTCCCTTTGTCATCCATGTCTAGCGAAGTCTGGCCCCGGGGATTCTGTGTGCGTCTCTCTGCTGTAAGCCATCGCGTCTCTGGCTGGCTGCAGTTCTCAGTAGCTGCCCAGTGCAGTGACCGCGACCTCTTGGAGCAGTTAACGCTCCATGAGGGGAACTCCCCTTCCAGGCCGCTGTGGCCCTGCTTGGTAACACGTTTGAAAATAGCAGAGGTACATAAATCCTATCCCTCCCTCTGTGTGTGCAGGGTAGCATGCGATCCTGGGAGCAGAAATAACATGCTAATGGGTGCAGCAACATGGCTGATTTCAGTTGAGCTTGAACCTCTTCCTGATCAATTTAAGCCAAACCAAAATCAGCCTGGCTTAAACTGAAGTAAAAGTGTCCACACTGCCTTTTTGCATCGGCGTAACTAAATGGGTTCAGACTCACCCCTTAAATGAAGCTGGTGATGCTTCCTCCTGAAGAGCAGCCCGTAGGTTGCAAGTCCTTTGGGGGACAGACCCCTAGGAACGCGCTGTGGGAAGAGCAACGTGTGGGATGGAAACGCAAAGGACCGGTGTTCACGTTATTTTTGATGACCATCGAGGGGAATTTCAAAAAGAATTTACTGTTGGATTTTTACATATTCTAATTTGACTTTTATTCACTCTCCACCCCCCCGCTACCGCTGGCCCCTGTTCGCATTAGAGGGCAGCTTCTCTTGTAGTATCGACTTATTTGTGCCTCAGGTGTTGGAGGTTTACATGCCAGTCTCAGTGTCGCAGCAGGTGTGGTTTTGGTTCATTTTTTACCCAGGCTGCCCACACCCTGAGTACGCTGCCATTTGTAGACAGGAAAACTTCCCGCCCGCTAAAGGTTTGTGCCCTTTTCAGCTTCCTCACAATAGCTCCATTTGCCCATGGGCTTTTTAATCTTAGAACTATCCTGAATATTACGTCTTGTTGTCTATGTCTTTGCTGGAAGGCTGACCGGAGAAATGGGGTGGGATCTCTCTCAGCCCAAAAATGAAGTGACTGGTTTGTTTGAACCTTTCACAAAGAGATTTTTCCTCCCAACTGTTCTGTGGGCATTTTAGTTCAATAGATATTAGCAAAAACGAGCAGAAAACAAAAAGCTCTAATGATCTGACTCAGTTTCCCTGCCCTGCTCAATTGCTCTGCCTTTACTTAGAATCATAGAAGATTAGGGTTGGAAGAGACCTCAGGAGGTCATCTAGTCCAATCCCCTGCTCAAAGCAGGAGTAACCCCAACTAAATCATCCCAGCCAGGGCTTTGTCAAGCCGGGCCTTAAAAACCTCTAAGGATGGAGATTCCACCACCTCCCTAGGGAACCCATTCCAGTGCTTCACCATCCTCCTCATGAAATACTTTTTCCTAATATCCAACCTAAACCTCCCCCACTGCAACTTGAGACCATTACTCCTTGTTCTGTCATCTGCCACCACTGAGAGCAGCCGAGCTCCATCCTCTTTGGAACCCCCCTTCAGGTAGTTGAAGGCTGCTATCAAATCCCCCCTCACTCTTCTCTTCTGCAGACTAAATAACCCCAGTTCCCTCAGCCTCTCCTCATAAGTCATGTGCCCCAGCCCCCTGATCATTTTCATTCCCCTCCGCTGGACTCTCTCCAATTTGTCCACATCCTTTCTGTAGTGGGGGACCCAAAACTGGATACAATACTCCAGGTGTGGCTCACGAGTGCCGAATAGAGGGGAATAATCACTTCCCTAGATCTGCGGGCAGCAGTGCTGACCGGAGCCGCCAGGGTCCCTTTTCGACTGGCTGTTCCGGTCCAAAACTGGCCACCTGGCGACCCTAGCTCCAAACCGATGGCCTCCTGCTTTGGGGCTGGTGCCCAGGCCGTGTTACTGTCGACAGAGGGCACGGCTGAGTTGGGGTTAATTGAAACGGTAGAAAGGGGGGCTGGGATGATACGCTGGGATCTGATGCCTCTTCTGCTCATTTTAGAAAGCCGAGAGATGTCCCTCCGGCCATCAAACTGTTCTTCAGCAAGGCGGCTGCCCTCCGATACGTCGGCCTGGCGTGTACCAAGATGCCGCCAGAGGCCGTAAGGTAAGAGGCCTGTTTCCCAGTTGCAAGGGCTTGGCCCCCACAACTGGGGACAGATTTACAGTGGTGACCAGCCTCCACCATCTCAGCCCTAGTGATGCTCGGCCTGTCCTGTGCAAACGAACAGAGGTGCGACTAGCAAGGCCCTCTAGAGGGCGCCTCCTGGTTGCTGGAGCTGCACGCATGTATGTACGCAGCAGGGTGGGGGGGGGGGAACCAGAGCTGCGGGTGTCCTGCGGAGTCTTGCCTGTGGCCATGGCTGAGGGAGTCTTAGAGGATTAAACTGCTGTGGTTTGCAGTCGGGGGTGCGTAGGATCTGAGTTACTTGGGCCGGGCGGGGATAACCTGCCTGAAACCACAGACACAGGGGCTTAGCCACAACAGGCTATTGATTTAGTAAATCCCTATTTATTAAGCCCAGCTAATATACCGAGCAGCCTCCTCTGGGGCAGGGAGCTCCCCAGACATCCAAGTGCATGCGCCCTCTGGTTCCAGTCTGATTCACCCATCCCTATCATTCAGCACTGCCGGCCCTTTCCCCAGCTCCTTCAGTCCTGCTGGGAACCAGGGCGAGTGCGTGTGCGTGAGACGAAGGAACAGAACTGTACTGGTGTCAAGTGGCAGCGGGGAGCCCGTAGCGTGACCCCCAGACGGAAGCGGTGCCAGAGACTCCCTGGAGTCCACAGGGCCAGTGCAGGTGCTGTGGATTCGCTGCAGAAGGCTCTCAGGCATCATGCTGGTGGATGGCAGGGGAGAACCTCGGGTAGCTAGGGCGGCTGGTGGGACGCACCTTTGGCTCTCCTAGCACCCCGCAGTGTTGCAGAGGAGCTGCAGGGCCTGGGCTGCTTCTCCCCCCGGCTGCCCCGAGGGCAGGTTGAGTGAGAGGGGAATCACTGACTGTTCCCGTGGGGCGGCTGGCAGCGTATCCAGCTCCCTCTGCCTGCTGATGAGAGCGCTGGGTTCAGGTTACTTTCTGGTTCATTGCAGGGCCTTGCTGCAGGGGTTAGCGTCTAACTCTCAGATCAGTGACCTGCACCTGGACCTCAGTAGCTGCGAGGTGAGGACGTGGCATGTGACCCAGTAAAGCAGAGCAACAGCTGAGTTCCAGCTAAACCCCGACACTGCATCTGAGCCCAGCAGCCCCGGGTGAAGAACTCCCGGGGCCGGGCAGTAAGTGTAGCTCCCCCACCAGAGCACAGAGGCTGGGCAGAGCAGTAGGACTTCATGGACCTGCACAGCCTTCCACCAGGTGGAATTTTGGCCCATTATCGAGTAGTTTAATTGCTATGCAGATGTTATGATCTAGGCATTTACGAGGAGTGCCTGGGCAGAAGCCAAGCCAGGGGAGAGAGCGTCATCCTGTGCAAGCCCTCCGACACGGACAGAGGTCGCTGTCTGAAAGGAGCCCCCAGCACGCCTGCGGTGCCTGTGAGATAGCCAGGGCTGAGCCGGCTTCCTGCTGCTTCCGAGCAGTGCCCAGCGCTGGCACCAGGCGGGGAGCCCTGCAGCTACGTGTTCAGAGTACAAATGGGCACCCCCATGGCAGGTCCTGCGATCCTGAGCCTGACCCACCTTCCCTCCCGTCTGTGGGTCCCTAGCACTTCCACAGTGTTAACGATCCCCCACCCCCCAGCGCCCTCTGAGGCTGATGGGAATGAGGATCCTGGCTGTGCTAACGGGAAGGGGAGTCAGATCGGGGTTAATGTCTCAGCTCTGCTGCAGCCACCTTGGGCCCGTCACGCACGGTCAAAGCTTGGAAAGCACCTAGGTGGTTTAGGCCCCCTAAGTCCCATTGAAAGTCACCAGGATTTAGGCTCCTGAGTGACTTTTGAAAATGACTCCTCAGTCGCTCCTAAAGTGTTTTTTGGAAAAGTTACCCTGAATCTCTCTGGCCCAGCTTCTCAAAGGTAGTTAGGCTCCCCTGGGTTTCCTGGGCCTCTAGGCCTCGGTTTCCTCGTCTATAATAATGCCCCCCCACCTTTGGGGCCAGCTTTGTGCCCATGGCTGAAAAGCGCGAAGGGTTTTTTTTATTCCTTTCTCCACATCCCGTGTTTCTGCCCTGCCCCTGCAGCGGTGGCTTTGGTTCCACCCTGCGCCTGGGGCATGCTGTGCAAACAGTCTGCAGGCAGCTCACAGCCAAGTTCCAGGTTAGAATGTTTGGTCTCACGCCCCTTATTGCAGGGTGATCCCAGGGGCACTGAGCACTGATTCGACTTTCCCAACTGTCATGTTCTTGCTTGTGAATGTTCCCTTTGACTCTTGTTCTGTTTTGTTTTTCATTTAAAGTTGAGATCGGCAGGTGCCCAGGTGATCCAAGATCTGATTTTTGATGCCAATGCAATTAGCCGTTTGGATTTAGCAGACAATGGTAGGTACATAGTTTCTTTGACTTATGGTGAGCTTTGTCACCGTGGCTGGAAGTGTCCTTTCCTCTTAACCTCGGCACGAGGCTGTGTGCTGCCATTCTACAGCAGCCAAGATAAATCCCCTGCCAGAACAATGACTGAGTTCGAGGTCCCCTCAACTGCTGTAGAAATAACCATTTAAAAGATGAGACTTGTTTTGACTAACTGAGGTTCTCTGAGCTGCCATGTGTGGTTATATATGTGTGGGTGGGCAAACTTTTTGGCCCAAGGGCCACATCTGGGTATGGAAATTGTATGGCGGGCCATGAATGCTCACGGAATTGGGGTTGGGTTGCAGGAGGGGGTGCGGGCTCTGGGGTGGGTCCAGAAATTAGGAGTTCAGGGTGCAGGAGGGGGCTGCGGGCTGGGGCAGGGGGTTGGGGTGCGGGGGGGGGGCTGGGGATGAGGCATTCGGGGTGCAGGAGGATGCTACAGGCTGGGACCGAGGGGTTCGGAGGGCGGGAGGGGGATCAGGGCTGGGGCAGGGGATTGGGGCGTGGGAGGGTTTGGCTGCAGGCTACGGGTGGCACTTACCTCAAGCAGCTCCTGGAAGCAGCAGCATGTCCCCCCTTTGGCTCCTACGCAGACGCGCGGCCAGGCGGCTCTGCTGCGCACTGCCCCTTCCACAGGCACCGCCCCTGCAGCTTCCATTGGCCAGACACCAGTTCCCGGCCAATGGGAGGTGCGGGGGCAGTGCTTGGGGCGGGGGCAGTGCACAGAGCCCCCTGGCTGTCCCTAAATGTAGGAGCCGGCGGGGAGACATGCTGCTGCTTCTGGGAGCTGTGCAGAACTGCGGCGCGTGTTCACGGAGCGGCCGCGGACCCCGCTCCCCGGCTGGAGTGCGGCAAGCCCCAGACCCCGCTCCCCAGTGGGAGCTCGAGGGCCAGATTAAATCAGCTGACGGGCCGGATGTGGGACGTGGGCCGTAGTTTGCCATCCCCTGTTATATACGGTATTGCTGCCATTCCTGCCCTCGCTTCTTTGTATAGCTGTTCATAGGCACGCGTCCGCATTTCCCTGGCGTACTTCTTCCATTACTCCAAGACGCCATTGCTTTTGTTTGGTGCCTATCTTCTGCCCCGATTAACACAAGGAGCAGCAAGAGGCTGGCTGGCTGGCATGCTGGAGCTGTGCTGCCGTTAGACCTGGTACAGTTTGTTCCGGTGGAGCGTTTTTTTATCCAAAAATGCCATTTGGCTGAAATAGAAACTTTCTGCGGGAGGATGTGAATGTCGATGGAATTTTTGACATTATCCAAATGCTTTGGTTTTTTTACTGAATCAAAAGCAAACGTTTCCATTGACCCCAAGTTCATGTTTTTTTGAAAATTTCATTTCTCGGCAGATTTCTGAATTCTTTGGTTTTGTTCCAATTAGGAACAAAAATCATTTTTGACGTGGCAGAATTTCTTGTGGTTCCTGCACTGCTCTGGTAGTTTGCATGTGCCCGTTTCCTTCTGAGCTGGGCTGCGCCGGGGGGACGGGAGCAGCTTAGAGAAGAGCAATTCTGTGCTAATGGGGCTGTTGTGTGGAGTAATTTTCCATCTGTGTCTGGTCAGCTGTGTGAAAATGACCAACCTGGTTACCAGGCCCGTTGGCTGCCTGCTGGTCAGACACCAGACTCCTCAACAAGTGTTGTGGTGATCTCCCAGGGCATTGCTCCAGAATCGCGGGTTGGTTTCCACTGTGCCCCAGCACCGTTCTGGTTTGGGATGAGTTTCCAGTTCTCTCCTCTCCTGGCCTGGTTTGGTTTTGTGTGTGAGTTTTGCTCTGGTAGGACTTCACTGGAAATTAGCAACGACAAGCCATCAAGGGCTTGTGAAGGAGGGAACTCCCTTCTTGAAACTCCCCGTTGCACTTCCCTTTTTATCGTTTCTGATGGAAGATTTCCAAAGTCTCTGCATCTCTTGTCCTACCAATGGGACGTGGGCGAGTAGCGAGGCGTTGGAGCTGACTGGCTTTACCACTTGACATGCCTGTGGAGGGAATGCGTAGAGCCCTGCTTGGCTTGTCACAAGGCAGTCGCTTTGGCTGTATTTCCTGGATTTGAATTCTGGCTGGCTGCCATTTGTTGGAGTTTAAGGGATTCTCTTCTGGGCGGGGAGGCAGCCAGCTTTCCCTGTGGGCGAGCCCCACTTCTTGGTTCTGGGAGGGCTCCTGTGCCACCCCGCCATGCTTCCGTTGTCAGCACCCACCTTGTTGAGCAGACAGCCTTCTCTGAGCCCATTGACAGTGTGTGTCCGTGGCTGCCAAGGCGAGGGGCTGATTTCCTGGGTTGTGGACACCTTCCCTGCCGTCAGAAGCATCGTCTAATTTCACTTCAAGACGGGAGGGAAAACACTGGGAGAGAACTGGCTGAACTGGGCTCCGTCAGCAGGCAGGAACGCTCACAGCTGCTGAGCAGCCCCCCCCGGCAAGGGCCCTACACATGATCATGCCCATCCCCCTCCCCCAGGCTTTATTCCGTCTGCTCAGCCAGGTGCCCTGGGGGGAGCAGAGGCAGGATTGTTCTGCTGGCGCTCTCCACTCCACTCCACACCAGCCCTGGAGAAACACGGCTGTCTGAAAGCAGAGCCTGGGATTGGTAAAGCTGCCCGGGGGAATAGCCCACCGAGATCCCCCACATACCCATCCATTCTGCGAGGGCACTAGCCTCCTCGTGCCAGCGAGTCACCGTCTGCCAAGGCTGGTGTGTCCTGAAGGTGGCCAAGGGACAGACCGAGTAGTTTGTCGATCTCTATGGGTCTGTTCAGGTGGGGATGCGCCCCTCAGCATCTGGTGCTACGAGAGCAACATCTGGGCATTTCTCACAACCCTCCCGCTGCAGGTGTGGCCGCCGGTTGCCACATCTAACTCCGCTCCTCCCTGTTCATGCCAAGGGTCCTTGGGGCGTTGGCAGTCACTAAGTGCCAGACACTGGTCACGGATCGTCACTGCTGCTTTTGTGTGTCGTAGGCTTTGATGCTGACATGGTCACGTTGGTGCTGGCGATTGGCCGAAGCAAATCCATTAGGCATGTCTCCTTAGGAAAGAATTTTAACATCAAATCCAAGTAAGTGTCACATGACTCATGCGTGTAATGAAGTGAACTTTAGCAGGCATGGGCCTAACCCCTGATTTTTATACACACTAGGTATGTTGCAGGTAGTCAAATTACATTTATTTACTGCAATTGCTGCACAGATTGTAGCTTTGCGTTGTTAATCACCATTTGGCTTTGTGTGTACTGGGCCTTTAAATTATGATGCTCTTGTAAATCAGAGGTGTCAAAGTCACAGAATCATCTCTTAGAAATGTGGGGCTGGAACAGAGCTGGAAGTCAGCCAGGCCAGCCCCCTGTGCTAAGGCAGGGCCAAGGAAACCTAGACCAGCCCTGACAGGGGTTTGGCCAACCTGTTCTTAACCACCTCCAGTCCAGTCACAGTGGTGCTGAATTTCCACGGACTATCGTGAGCCCCAAAGGCCTGCGGTGTTTGCCTCAGTGCTCAGCCTGGTGCAGGTTTGGGGATGAGCTCTTGCTGCTTGAATTCAGACTGGGACAGGTGCAGAGAGAGGCTGCTGGGGTGATCAGGGGACTGGAGAGAGCCGGTTGTATGAGAGGAGACTAAGAGAGCTTGGCTTGCTTGGCCATGAGAGACGGGCTGATTGCGCTCTGTAAATATTGGAGGGGGAGGGGTAGAGCTGTTTAAGCTAAAGGACAATGTTGGAACCAGGATAAACTGGCCAGGCTTACATTTAGGCTGGAAATTAGAAGAAGGTTTCTCACCATCAGAGAGGAGGCTGTTCCAGCACCTCACCCAACAGGAGTAGTGGGGCAAAGGACCCAACTAGTTTGAAGATGGGATCTTGATACATTTATGAAGGGGATGATCTGACGGGGTTGTCTGTGATTAGCAGGGGACTGGACTCGATGGCCATCCCTGCCAGTCCTATGTTCTTGGGTTACTGTCCAGCTGAGATAATGCAGAGGCCTGGGGTCTCAGGGGCAGGGACACTGCAGTGTGGTCACCCCCTTAGGCCAGCCAACAAGAGTACCTCTTGGGCAGGTGCTCAATGCCCCACGCTGGCTGCAGCTAGGGAAAGGCTGGTGGCTTGCGGGAGAGAGGGAGGTGCATAGATGAGCCATGCGGTCAGAGTAACGTCCAGCCGCAATGGACACTTCCCAGCTTGGTGCTGACTTGAGCCCGCGTCAGGCTCTGCTGTGCGATGGGGAAAGGCGAATGACCCCTCTGCATCTCCTCCGCAGGGACAATCTGGCCGACGTTCTCCACCGGATTGTTCAGCTCACGCAGGAAGATGACTGCGTAAGTGCTTGCTGCGGCGCCCACCCGGAGCCCCATAACTGAACCGTTTGCGCCGTTTCCTCTGAATTATTCCTATTCATTTCAGAACCCCCAGGCCAGCTGTGAGACAACTGGCCATTTTGTGTTTCAGTTCAGATGCAGAACGTGGGGGAGTCGCTGTCTCTCTCTTCCATGGAGTCACTCCCTCTGTGGTTGGTGTTAATCTGGTCAGACTGAGAAATAAGTGCTTTTCTCGCTGCGTTTGGGAGAGTATAGGAAAGGAATCAACAGCTGGTAGAGTCTAAAGTAAAGCGGAGGGAGCAGGAGAGATGTGTGTTGTACGTGGGGGGGATGGATAACAGCCCAGAACAAAGGTGATGGGCTTCTGAAAATGTCACCTGTTTGGAAGGTCTAATATCCTAGGGCCTCTTCTCAGGGCATTGAAAAGGCAATGAAGATTCGTCTAGGCCAGGCAGAGGCCAAACCGTTATCTCAGCGTTACTGACGCTGCGTCGACCTAACTGCAGCAGTCTTGACTCTGCCGCTCGTGGAGGTGGAGTTATTAATTCCGCACAGCAGAGCAGTTACGCCTGCAGGAGCGAAATTGAAATGGAAAGTGGGGTTGCCACCTTTCTAATGGCCGGTAACTGGACCCCCAAGGCTCTGCCCTGTGCTCCGCCTCTTCCCCCAAGGCCCCACCCCATCACTCGCTCCTCCCCCCATCGCTCGCTGGATCCTCTCAAGGAGCCTTCCTGCAGGTAGGAGGCAGCACCAGCGGAGCAGGGGCTGATGCGGGTTAATGACCTGGCGCCAGTAACTGGACTTTTGGTTCGGGTGCCATTTACGGTCGAAAACTGGGCACCTGGCAACCCCAAATGGCGCCCGGCTGCAGGAGCCAAAACCTGCTAGTGTAGACACTTCCACAGCGAGGCCGACAAGCTGCCCTGCGACACCCTCGCTCTGGAGTGTAGCCCGGGCCTCAGCTCTTAGAGTTCACCTTCGTTACTCCTCGTCAGCCTGCTAGTCCTCCAGGCACCCATAGAGTCTTCCAGGGAACGCAGGCTAGACCAGACCTGAATTTCTAATGTGAAGAAACCCCTTTCAGGCCTATCCCCCATCAGAGACACCAACAGGGCAAGGGCACTGATGTTCTTTAATCTTTGCAGGTCTCCTTTGAAGGAGAAAACCCACTGGTGCATTACAGAGTTGCTGCCACAGGCAGAAAAGGTCTGTGCAGCCCAAATCCCATTAACCAGGCCTTTCCCATTCACGTGATTACCAGGCTATTAGTGGGTAAATGGCAGCTTTCTCCTCTAGGATTGCCCCCTCCTCCTGCCGAGGTTCAGCAGGATCGAGCGGCCAGGCGTGGCTCAGACCTGCCCTGCGTTGTTGTCTGTGCTTTTTTCTGCCTGTGGTAGGGGCCAAATGATGTCTGTCTGTCTAGATACTTGTCTGGCCCCATCACAGGAGTATCTGAGCGCCTCCCAGTCAGCAGTGGGCTCACCCTCGCTGTACTCTGGGGAAGCAGGGCATGGCTAGTGCCCCACAATATAGGTGGGAACCTGAGGCACAGAGAGGCTAAGTGACTCACCCAGGGTGACACATGAGTCAGTGGCAGAACAGGGATCACTTCACTATCCTTCCCCCTGGCACGGGGAAGAGGGCTCACAAATTCCTCTCTCCCTGCCCCCCCCCCGCCCCAGTGCTCTTGTCCGAGGACAGCTCTGCTTTGGCTTTGGCCATTCCCCACACATAGGGAACGCTGGAGCTGCTGAGCAGAGGCCTCTTGGGCAGGGCGGGGCTACCTGCAGGCCTCCCTCCTGCCCGCTCCTGGCCTCATGCAAACAGCTTCCAGGTGCCTCCCTCCGCGTCCCACCCCATGTGATCTAGGAGCTTTGGTCTGGCCCTAGCTTTGTGTTCATTAGCTTGTCCCCTGCACTTACTGGCTGCCAAGGACTGTAGGCAACAGAACTAGAGCACAGCCCACGGGCCTGCCCAGAGAGGGCAAAGAGCTCGTGAGCCGCACAGGGCACTCTGGGGGGCAGGGATTCCCCGGCTGGTCCCATCATGCAGGTGGCCCAGTCTGTGTAGTTAGATGGGGGGGAGGGAGCGACCTGCTCCCTTGTAAAGCCCAGGGACCCTGCAGCACCAGCACCTGATCTTTTCTCTCTCCGGTGTTTGTCTTCCAGCCTCTTCAATCCCTGTCCGTGGCCGAATCGCGACTGAAATTGGGAACCAACGTCCTCCTGAATGCCCTGGGCAGTAACACCAGCCTCAGCACGCTGGACATCAGCGGGAACACCATTGGCGACACTGGAGCCAAGATGCTGGCCAAAGCCTTGCAGATCAACACAAAACTCAGGTAGCGAGAGTGTGCGTGTGTGCAAGGGAAAGGCCGGCAGGCGGACGCTGGTAAGTGCTGAGTCAGCACAGCATGCCGGCTCTTGCGGGGCGCTGCTGGGCCGCGTTTCCAGAGGAGAGGAGAGGAGTGTGCTGCCTCGGGGGGTTTGCTAAGCAGGAGGAAAGTGCTGTGTAAAGGCCCTAGGAATCACGGGGTTTCCATTTAATAGGGCAAGTGGCTGGTGAAATTTGTACCACTTGTTTAATGAAATACTGAGTCTGATCCTATAATGGCAGATCCTGTCTCCCCCCAGATCCCCATTCCTCCATCCTGCCTCGTACCCACCCTCTCCTCCCAGCAGTCTGGGTGAGAGCAAGCTCTCCCAGTTCTCATATGCTCCTTGTCTTTGTTCTTGCCTCTCCGTGCTGCTCACCTGCCCACGCAGGCTGCTTGGCCTCTCCGTCCCCCGCGTGGCTGTTCTGTGTGCTGGGCGCTCCCTGGCTCTGAGCCATTGGCACCTCAGCTGCACTGGGACATCTGCCACCAGCAGTGCCTCAAAGTACAGTGAGATGTGACATGTGATTGACACGATGTCCCTCCACCCATCTCTTCTTCACCTCCTTCAATTCCTCCCCACTCCCAGTGTACTCTCCCCTCCCCTTCCCCCGAGGATCCCTATTGCCTCTTTCTGGTCTCTGCGTCTGTCTCATCTCTATCTATGGTGCTTATCCGGTGCCCTTCACTGTAGTATCTGCACACCTCGCAGCCTGTAACAGATTTATCCCCAGGGGATAATGGAGAACTGAGGCCTAGAGAAGCTAAGTGACATGCCCAGGGTCACTCGGGATGTTTGGGGTGGACCAGGAATTGAACTTGGATAGCTCACAGCTGCTTTACCCCCTTGGCCATCCTTTCCCTCTCAGCCATTCGGTGTCTCTTGGTCTCAGCCCTGCAAAGAGTTCTCTCTCTCCTATTGCGAACAGCTGCTTCTGCAGCTGCACCACGTCTGCTGTGTGCATATAAATCCTGGGGTGTGTGGGTCTGATCCAATTGCGCAGGAAGCACCTGTGAATGCTGCCCTGAGGCAGGCTGACGTGTGTAATCGTCAGCTGGTGTAAAGAGGGTGCACTGAGCCCCCTAGTCTATGCCCGTTTAGAGGGACCGTTTGTACATGCTCATTCAATACCAGCTGATTGTTGGCGCCGTACTCCACAGGAATGAAGGCCCGGGTAAAGGAAATGCCTGGATTATATAATGGCTAAGCCTCCATGCCAGCTGTATGGCAGATCAGCCGTCTGTTACTCTGCAATTCAGTGTCCAGGCAAGGGCCTGTCAGGGCTGATGACTCCATTGCCTGGCAGTGCTCGGCACCCTCAGCTTCGCTGCAAGCTGCAGCAACGGCTCCAGGAAGGGAAAACCAGGGCTGCGTATCCTGGGCTTGCAGCTGCAGGAAGGAAGCTCGGGAATTGCTGGGGCATGCCCTGCCTCCCCGTTAGGCACTGCGGGTCATAGACTCCCCTGGTACAGGTGAGGAACAGCTGGGCAGCTGGGAGAGCGAAATGGTCAATGTGACGCCTCTGGAGATGCAGGGAGGGACGTGGCTAGACTCTTGGTGTAAGTCAAAGATCTATGGAAATGGCAGTGCAGAGCCCATGGGCTCCCCATCAGTCAGGCGCTGTCCTTGTTCCTGTCCAGCTTTGGCAGTGCAGTGCTCTACCGTGGCTGGCCCCAAGCCTCCTCTGCAGTGAGGGAAGCCCTGAGCGGTGTTAAGGGACCGTACTGTGGAGAGCGAGTGCCCTTTTCCCCTCCCAGCCCAGCTGGCCATGCCCGCCCAGGTGCAATGTCACTGTAGCGAAGCGAGACTCACCGGCGCGGCGCCTCCTGCTGGTTGTCCTGGGAACTAGCTCGATTCCAGCCTCTGCAGGCCGATGTCTCACTTGCTGCTGGCTCCCGGACCCTGGTGCCCCTTACCCTGGGGTTCTGCCCTCCGCAGTACCCCCGCTCTGGGTCTCCCCTCCCAGGGGAACCCCCAACCCTCTCACCCACCTTGCCTCAGTGGCTACTGCGAGTCGTCATCTAGCCCCCGCTCACTGGGGCCGACTGCAGTCTGTAAAGGCCACTCATCATCAGCAAGGGGGTTGGACCAGCTGCTTTTGCCTATCCCTGGGCTGCCCTTCTGCAGCCCCAGTACCTTTGTAGGCCTTCACCAAGGCCTGCAGCCTGGGGGTTTACCAGGCTGGAGCTCCCCAGCCCTGCTCCAGTTCAGGTACCTTCCTCTCAGGCAGCCAGGCCCTTCTCCCTCCAGGACTGGAGAGAGACTCCCCCAGCTTCTGGCCCACAGCCCTCTTATCAGGGCCAGCTGGGCCCTAATTGAGCTGGCCACAGCTGTGGCTGCTTCCCCAGTCAGCCTAGCTTGGCTGCTTTTAACTCTGTTTTCCAGCCACAGCCCTCTCCAGGGCTGCTTTCAACCCCTGTTCTGCAGGAGTGGGGCAGCCGCCCCACTACAGTCACTCTCACGGGAGGATGGCTACCAACTTTGGCTCCCCTCCATGCTGCGTGACAGAGGGGAGCAGGCTGGCCAGGCGCTGACCTCCAGCTTTGCTGCCTTCTCCCCGCTGCTTTGGTGCCTGTGGGTCACTGGCTCTCGCTGCAGGGCCCCAGGGCTCCAAATCTCCTGTCCAGTGGCGCTGGGAGGGGAGGAAGTGCCTTCACCCAGCAGTGGGGCAGAGATGGGGAGCCTCCTCGATCCGGCGCAGGACCCGTTATCTCATTGCATTCATTGCTGCATTTCTTCTCTGAGGAGAGAGAATTGCAAACCTCTCTGGCTGGTCACGTTCCCCAGGCCCCGCAGAGCAACGTGGGAACGAGGCAGCTTAATAACCGGCGTCGCTAGCCACGGCGCGAGGCTGGGACTGCTGATCCCTAGCTAGCCGCCAATAGTTCTGGGTGCCCAGTTCTCCGGCATGCAGCTCACTAGCTGCGCCTCCCGGGCCTCTGCCCCCCTCGCCCGGCACTGGCTGACAGACGTCCTTGGCCGAAGCAATAGCAGCGGTGTCCTGAGCTGTATATCTCAGCCTCAGAGGGGTGGAGCTGGGAGACAATAGGGCCTGCAGGCAGGTGGTGGGAGGGGCTAGGTGGCCCGTGGAGAGCCATTTCCCCTCCAGAGGATTCTGGGATTAGCCACCTGGCGTTCGGCAGCAGAGTTATCTCCCCCGGGGAGCAGGGTCACCTCTCCCTGCTGTTGCAAGGTGAAGTTTGCACATCAAAACAAGGCAAACATGGGCCTGGTGGGTCTCTCTGAGCTCATGTGCAGCGTTCTACGTAGGGTGACCAGACAGCAAATGTGAAAAATCGGGACGGGGGTGGGGGGTAATAGGAGCCTATATAAGAAAAAGACCCAAAAATCGGGACTGTCCCTATAAAATCGGGACATCTGGTCACCCTAGTTCTACGTCACTTTGGCAGGACCTGTCTCATGGCCGGCATGGCCATGTCTGCCGGCCTCGGGTTAGCCCGGCCCCAAGAACGGCTGACAAAACCTCTCCTGGCTGAATCTGCACCGTTGGCGAGGGAAGGGAAAGTCACAGCTCCATCTGTTCAGATCCTTCCCGAGAAGGAAACTCCTCTGGGGTGCCTGGGGGGGTTACAGGGAAAAGATCCCTCTTCATCCCGAGATGTTCGCCCCCGCGCTCGGAAATCTGCATTGGGAGGCTGTAGCCAGCCCACAGCTAGGGCTCGTCCATTCGCAAACTGGCAGCACGAGAACTCCGTGGGGTTTAATTCACACCTGTCACTTCAGGCTCTGTGTGGGTGCGCGCTGATTGCAGTTTTTCTGTTTCCATTTTGCTCAAGGCAGTGAAAAATCCCAGTCTCTCAGCCCTGTTCTTTAACCCTCTGCTGCCTGGAGCTTACCCACTGTAGTATTGCCAAAGACCTGCCAAAATCAGGGGTCAGGGCCCCAGAATCACGAGATTGGCTTTAAAATCATGAGATTTTGAACTCATGGGTTTGGTTTCTTTGGCTCCTGGAGTCTGGGCTTGTAGGTGGCATGCAGGCCACATTTTCATGCTTTTCTCCACAACCACCAACGCTAGAGACTTTAAAAAAAATGTATTTTTAATGCAAGGCGAGATTCTCGATGTAATCCCATGACTCCAGGAGCTGGGGGCTTTAAGAAAGAAACCAAAGCTCACAAGACTCATGATGCATCCCAAGAATTGGGGACGCTGCTCTTGTGCGATTTGGGCTCTCTTCTCTGCAGTGGGAGATTGGTGAAGCTAACGACCCCAGGCCAGGGGCACATGCCAGCTGAAGGGTCAGAGCTTTCAAATGGCCGCAACCTGAGTTTGGCTTCAGCCCTTGTGCAGTGCGGCTCATCCGGCCTGTGATACAGTCCCCTGCCTACTGCTTGTAGCTGAGCAGCGGGAATCGCCGCAGAGTCTGCCGCAGGGCAGGCCCCTCCAGTGTGGTGAGTGATCACACCAGAGCCCAGTGGGGTCGCCTCTTGGGGACGTGCTGTACGGCCAGCTGCAGCAGCTGCCTGGCTCTCCAAGCCCTTGGTGAGCTCGCGCTGTGCTGCTGGCACGACAGAGAAGATGCATGTTGCCCCTCCCCACTTCGCACTCTCCTGCCTGGCAGGGCAGCGGTGGTGGTTTCGCTGCAGCATCCCTTGCTCCCTGTGTGCACTGTCCTTTTACAGCCTCTGCGGGCGACCGGTAGTGGTTCTCGCTGGAAACGGACACGGCAGCCACGCGCTGTGGAGCAAAGAGATTTCACTGAGACCCCGCTCAGTGCCCTGCAGCCTGCAAAGTCCCTGAATGTGTTGGGCTGCTCCATTTCCCAGAATCACCCCGCTTTTCATTTTGGAGGCACTGGGATACTGCAGGGAGGGGCCGGATAAGTCCCCAGAGAGATTTGCCAAAGAGATGGGCTGGATGGTTCAGCCAGCCCAATAACACCATTCTAAACCCCAGCCAAAACCCTGCTCCCAGCCCCCCAAAACTTGGGGGCAGTTCAGGTCTTTAGTGTCCCTCGTGCTGGAGAAGAGACAGGCTTGTGCTCTGTATAAGGAGAATTCTTCATTGACTCTGCCAGCCCCTGGAGTTCTCTAGCTCCCAGACTAACAGCCTACGGGCCATACAGGATCTCCTTAAATCCTGGCCTGGATTTAGCATCTCAGGAAGGGGCTGCTCATTACACTAGAGCAGTGGTTCTCAACCAGGGGTATGTGTACCCCTGGGGTTATGCAAAGGTCGTCCAGCGGGTACAGCAACTCATCTAGATATTTGCCTAGTTTGACAACTGGCTACATAAAAAGCACTAGCGAAGTCAGTACAAACTACAATTTCATACAATGGCTTGTTTATACTGCTCTGTGTACTATACACTGAACTGTAAGTACAGTATTTGTATTTATAGTTCTATGGTAACGAGGAGAAAGTCAGCGATTTGTCAGTACTACTGTGCCTTGACCCTTCTGTATGTTTATATCTGATTGTGTAAGCAAGGAGTTTTTAAGTGAGGTGAAACTTGAGGGTACACAAGACAAATCAACCTCCTGAAGAGGGTATATGGTCTGGAAAGGTTGAGAGCCACTGGGCTAGAGGATCTGACCTAATCTGTGCAGTGAGCCCCTCTCTCTGGAGTGGGCTGAGCCAATCCCCTGCTGAACGTTGGAGAACTTTGTATCTGGAGTGCAACCTCCTGGCTCGGACAAATCTGTGCTTCTAATATGCTGAAAGCACGTGCCTTGTGAGGGGGAATTGTTCATTGGGGTTCACCCTCTTTCTTCTCTTCCCAGGACAGTAATTTGGGACAGAAACAACACCACGGCCCATGGATTCCTTGATGTTGCCCGTGCTTTGGAAAGGTAGGGGCGCTGTAAAGCATGTGCTTTAACTCCTCAGTGACATGCAGGTTTCATTGCTAGTGGGGAGTTCTGTGTTGGGACCTGGGATCGTTCACGGAAGGGATTCCCACTAGCCCCTAACCTTGTGAAACTAGACAGGTGATATTGACAGAACACAGCAGGGTCTAAGTCAGATGCCAGGAGACAGAGCGCAGGTGGGGTCGCCCTGGGATGAGGGTCTGCCTGTTGGCAGTGGGGACAGGCTGTGTCGAGTGTGTTGCTTCTGGCGAGCGAGGTGCTGGCTGTGGTGAAGTGAAGCCTTGTTAATTGCATGTGGGGAGAGGGTGGGCAGGCAGCTGGCTGGATGCAGGGGGAAATGGAGATGCGCAAGGTGCTGTAGCTAGAAGGCAGGCCTGGGAAGGGCCTGTGTAACTGTGTGCTATGCCCCACCCTTCTCTACCACCTTGCAGCCACAGATCTCAGAGAGCTGCTTGACCATTAATGAGCTAAGCTTAACCCCCCCCCTCCCCCCCCCCCCCCCGTGGCAGACAGGATGATCTGCTGAGAGCCCGAGCTCCAGCCCCAGCTGGAACGGCTAAATGGCTATTTTTAGCGCCAGAGTGCAAGCATGAATCTGTAGGGCTGTACTCTGAGACTGGCAGCCAGGGGGTTTGGGTAGTGTAAACGTATCCGTGTGGACCTGCTGCTGCGCATTAGATGCTCTGTAGTGCACTTTGATCTGCCTCGCTTTGAAATGGGCATAGATTAAAGTGCACTAGGACACTGTTCGTGCGAGGCAGCGTGGTTTGCACTGACAGCTAGTGTGCGACAGGCTAGCACGTGGTGGATTTACCTGCCAGCTTGCCGTGAACTAAGTGTTCGTGCGGACAAACCCCGAGGTGCTAGTGACGGTGGGGTGCCTCTATCTTTAGATTCCCCAAGATGAGAAGGGTCTAATTCGCTGCCCTAAAAGGTGGGGCCCTTCAGTGTCACAAGCTGGGCACCCAGAATCACGAGTCACTTGTGAGAATGTGGGCTGTACCGGATGAGGCCTGCAGTCTTGTGCTCCATGGCTTACGGTGTCAGTAATGCCTGGCTCTGACACAGCGCGTTTCATCAGTAGCTCTCCCAGCAGCCCTGTGGGCCAGGGCACTATTATCCCCATTGCACAGATGGGGAACTGGGGGCTCAGTGACTTGCCAAGTCTGTGGTGAGCAGGGACCCTCCATCTCCCAGGGCTTCGGCTAGTGCCCTACCCACTGGACCAGCCTTCCTGCAAACAATACTGCTGCCCGCACACAGCAAGACAGTGAGGCGCCGCCAAAGCTTTACAAAAACAATGCCCCACTTAGACCTTGAAAGGATTTCTTCTCCCACCGAGCACTTCGGTTGTGGTGCAGCGCAGGGAAATGATAACACATTGGAGAGCGGGGAGGAGGCGAGATCATACAGGTGCTGGGAATCTGAAGTTATCTGACCTTTCTCCTTTGGATTTCTCTGCCTGTTACAGTGGGTTTCAACCTTATTCATTTACTTCCCCCTAAAAAATTTGGAATGGAGGTGCAGACCCCTCTGGAAATGTTAGACGTAGTCTGCGGACCCCTAGGTTGAAAACCACTGCTCTATTACAGTGAATGGCACACCACTGCTCTATTACAGTGAATGGAGATGGGGCAGAAGGTGGATGAGAACTTTGGATCCAGGCTTGGATCAGAATTCTGTGACCCTAAACCATCTATAACCCGAACGCCACACACGCCGTCTCACGGCTTCACAGCATAATGTAGCTGGTGCAGCCAATCGCAGTCGCTCTTTTACATGGGGGAAAGTCAGACATAGCCTGGCTTTGCTTCACTTTCCATTTCTGAGCACTGTGTCTGTGCAGCAGAAAGCTGGCAGCATCGTGGGGATTTAGGAGAGAGCGGGTCTCGCAGCCGGAGGAGACTCGGGGGTTGTGCCTGGCTCCACCACTGTGTGAATTCGGGTGTGGCGCTGCCCCTCAGATCTCGTCCTGCGAGGTGGGATAAGAATTACACTCCGTGGTGAAGATGCTATTCCTGGACTCAGGAGAGCCAGGTTCAGTTTCTGGCGCTCCCACATGCTTCCTGTGAGACCTTTGGCAAATCACTGAACCGTCCCCCTCCCAGTCCAGTCTGCCAATAACTTTCTCCCTGCAGGGATGACTAGAAGCTAAACTCCTTGTTGGGAGGGTGGCCATGTGGGTGCCGAGGCCGGTCAAACGGGCAAGCCCCTCGGGAGGGAGAAGGCCAGGTGCTATAGGAGTGCAGCGTGTCCTTGTTATTTACCCAGGCAATTCTGCAAGACTTTTGAACCAAGTCGGTTTGTTTTCCAGGGGCAAAGTTCACCCTGCTTGGGGCTGCAGCTGCAAGGGGCACAAATGGAGCCATTTTGGGTTGGCAGGGAAACCTCTCCGCCTCTAGTATTGGCCCTTCAGGCTGAAGGTTGCCAAGTGACCTGTAGGTGTCTGCGAAGGTGCTGAGGGCTCTCTGCCCACTGGGGGATGAATGCAGCAATGACCCCTGTCCCCTGTGGGTGGGAGGGTAGCGCAAGGTGTCGTGGGGACGCGGTGGGCTCAGAATGGTCGGGGGCGGGTGCCAGACGGACCCATCCCAGCTCCGTTCTCATTGTGGAGCTGGGGGAAGCCCAGCTGAGTCCAGGTTGTTCCAGGGATGCTAACTCCAGCCGTGTCACCCCCAGGAATTACACCCTGCGGTCCATGCCATTGCCAATGAGCGACGTGACTCAGGCTTATCGGAGCAATCCGGAGAAGACGGAGGAGGCTGTCCACAAGGTAGATCTCTGGGGCTGGCAGGGGGTGGGGACTGGGCCTTCCAGCCCAGCCTCCAACTCTTCCCGCTAACTGGGCCTCTTGCCTGCTGCAGATGCAGTCTTTTCTGGCGAGGAATCAGATGCGGCGGACGCTGCCTAAGCAAACGTTCCGGCTGCAGCAGGGAATCGTCACCAGCTCCTCGGAACAGGTCAGAAGGATGCCGGGCCAGTCACACCTGCCTGCTTCGCTGTAAGGGGCCGGCCAGAGGGTGCGGGCCTTGCCAGCCCAGGCAATGAGCCTCCAGTCCAGTACCTGTCTGTGCACTGGACATCTGTCCACACGCAGGGCCCGCTGGAAGCCCATGGCTGTGGTGGGAAGGTTCCCCATGGGCTCCAGCGTGCTTTAGACGCTCTGTGCACATATTCTTGCAGTCCCTGCCCCTGCTCGTCAGGGGTTCCTCTTGCACGGCAGGGCGAATGCTGTCCCTGCATGCCACCCATCCTCGCGGCGGTACTGAGCACACTCCCCGCTGCGGGCTCGCCTGGCCAGGGGAGAGGCAGGGACGGGGGTGGGAGGAGGAGGATCGCTGCAGGGTAGTGCGGGGAAAGCGGGCCTGGGAGGTGGCACTAAGGAGGGGTGGGGGAAGAAGGCAGACGGGGCTCTGAGGAAGATCGGCGAAGGAGAAGAGCGGCCCGTTGGGAAAGATGGAGGGAAGAGAGCCAGGCTGAGGCTGGGTGAGGCAGGAAGCAGGGGAGAGCCTGGAGAAGCCAGACCGGAGGAGGGACAGCATGGGGGATGGAAGGGTCCCGCCGCTGATTCTGAGCTCGCTTCGTGCCCATATGCTGGGGTCCCGGCTTGTCTGATCCCGGTTGGAGGGTTCATAGGCTGTCCCGCTCAGGCTCTCGGCGTGCACCGCACACTAACAAAGGACCACTCCCAGCCCCGATGGAGAAACTGAGGCACAGAGGGGTTAACTGGCCTTGCCAAAGTCACAGAGCTGGGGACAGTCTGGGTCTGCTCCCGCCCAGCCCTGTGCCCTGCCACCAAGGCTGGCTTTCCTTGGGACCTGCGGGCGGGCGCGAGCCGCACACTGACACGGGTACTGTGCTCTAGATGGTGAATGAGATGTGCACCAGCCTACAGAAGCATGTTGACGCCCTGAGTGCCCGTCTGGGCCGAGAGGTGGAAGCCAGTGTCCTCTGTGCAGAAGAAGCCATTCGGGAAGCAAACCTGTCCATCAGCGTGAGTCTCCAGGCTGTTCCTGCTGCTCTGTGTGTGCTGTCCTCCCGCTTCCCAGGCCCGGCCCGGCTGCCTCTTAGCCGCGTGCTGCAGCCAGGCCCAGCCGCGCTATTGTCAGGGTTTGACTGAGCTTCCACTACAAACCCAAACTGGCTCCTTGGCCCCAGTGCCACAGACAAAGGACCGTTGGGAAGTTAGCTCTGGGGCCGAGGTTGAGTCATTCTTCCAGCTACGCCAAGACGTGGACGATGGCCACCCGCAAAACAGAATTTCTCGTCTTTGGCCCCAGCCCAGAACCAGCAAGTGACTCCCCTAGCCGAGTTCTCACCCGGGGCCAAGAGATTAACTCGGATTTAAAAAGCCATTAAGCTTGTGACCAGTAACATGAGCTTGGCTTACAGCAGGTTAAAATAGGGTGGCTGCTGGAGAGCAAAACTTTCCTTTGCTTTTAAAGGGAAGGGTTACGGTTAAAGGGAAGGGTTAGGGTTAAAGGGAAGGGTTGGGTTAGGGTTAAAGGGAAGGGTTAGGGTTAAAGGGAAGGGTTAGGGTTGGGTTAGGATTAAAGGGGAGGGTTAGGGTTAAAGGGAAGGGTTAGGGTTGGTTTAGGGTTAAAGGGAAGAGTTAGGGTTGGGTTAGGGTTAGGGTTGGGTTAGGGTTAAAGGGGAGGGTTAAAGGGAAGGGTTAGGGTTAGGGTTGGGTTAGGGTTAAAGGGAAGGGTTAAAGGGAAGGATTAGGGTTAAAGGGAAGCATTTATTGGGCTTTTCCCGGGGGTGTTGAAAATGTGAATGGATCGGGGACGGGGGGCAGAGCAAAGACAGCGTGAATGATGATTGGGGGCAGTCAGACAAGCTGCTGGTAAATGAGCCCGTGGAGATGAACGTGCTCGCTACCCGTAATCAGGATGAGGAGAATTTTCTTTGCCAGATCTTAGCCTGGGCATTGAGAGTGGGGAGCAAATCAAGTTAATTGGATTCATGTATTAATGGGCGGGAGGAGCCTCATGGCTCTTGAGCCCCTGAAAGCCCCTGCCAATCTCAGTACCCCCTCCGCTGGGTCTGCTAAGGGGCCTCTTTGTGTGGGCCGGGGTGGGGGAGAGTTTGGGGACGGGGGAGGACAGATGGGGGGCAGCAGAATCCTGGCATTGTGCCCCTCCTGCCATCCATGTTCTGCTCATGAGGTGCTCTCTGTGACATGGGTGGGGGCAAGCCTCCATAGCTCTTTGGCGCAGCCCCACACTTACGGGGAGTGGCAGATCCCGAGACGCCTACAGGGGGTTGTTTGGAGGCTGGCGTTCTTCCCAGGCTCACTGGGTGGCTGGTGGCCCAGGGGGAGGGGCTGCCACAGAGAAGCTTGTGGGAGGTCGTGGGGTGCACTGGCCTCCTGACTCTCACGAGGGGCCCCACCAGCCTCCCTTCATTGGCAAGGACAGACTGGAGGCCCCAGCAAGCTTCTGATGGCTTGTCAGGAGCCTGGTGCCCTATGCAGGGGCTGCCTGCTTCCGTGTGCCCGAGGGGTCTGCAGGGACGGGGCTCCCCTCGCACGCAGGGGCTGCCTGCTTCTGGGCGCCCCCGGGATCTGCAGGGACGGGGCTCCCCTCGCACGCAGGGGCTGCCTGCTTCTGGGCGCCCCCGGGATCTGCAGGGACGGGGCTCCCGTCGCACGCAGGGGCTGCCTGCTTCTGGGCGCCCCCGGGATCTGCAGGGATGGGGCTCCCCTCATCTGCACCTCAGGAGAGCCACAGAAAGGGCCGGGGGATGCCTGGTATGTGCTGCTCCCCATGGTCGCTGTCCGGCCGCCTGCCTCCCTTCCTGCAGACCTTGTCACGTCCCTAGGGAGGGATCGCCTCTCCGGGGCTGCGCCTAAGGACAGTGCAGGCGGCTGTGCCCCACAACCCCCCCCCCCCAATGTTGAAACTACTGAAAAAACGAAGGAAATTCTCAGACAAACTTTGAAGGCTGATCTCAGCAACGGGGAGGCGAAAATCCTTGTAAGAATCTTGCCAGTAGTAAAACAAACCTCCCTCCCCGGCCAGGAAACCATCAGACTAACTGAAACCCCAACTGGGAAACTCCCATGGCCGGTGCCTTGCCTCTGCCCCCCGCGAGAGGAGTTTGTCAGGGTGGCTGCTCTGGGCCCCCGGCTCCGCAGCGGGGAGCTACCCATGCTGGTTTCCTGGGCTGGAGCATGTCAGCGCTCTCCTTCAGCTGCACGCCTTAATGCAGGGGAGAGGGGTCCTAGCTGATATGCTGGCATGTGAACTTTGCCGAGACGGCCCCACCTGAGGGGAACTGACGGGGATTGTTCCTAAGAGGGAAACCCTCCACTCTCGCTCGGAGTGAGCACAGGGGTCTGCGCAGCTCCTGTGGAAGAGCCCCAGAGGTGTCATTGGGACCTTGTTCCTTGGAGCCGGTCTCACTCCTGGATGGGCCCATGCAGCAGCATCTCCGATTCCTGCCTGCTTTACGGTCAGCCCCTTGTACCACCTGAGAAACAAGCTCTTGGGAGCCGCAGAAGAAACTCTCTGGCACAGTTCCCCCAGCGAGTCAGACCTTCCATTGCCTACAGCAGACACCGGAAGGGAGCCGGGCAGGGAATGGCCCCTGTGTTGGTTCCCACCTGTTTCAGTGGCGGTGACTGTTTTCTCTCTGCCTCTCCTGGCACTGGACCCCCTCTGCTGGGGGCTGGCACTGCCCAGGCAGGTTCTCAAACCCCAAGGGATTAATGGCTGTACTCAGTGCCCAGACGTCCCTGCAGTGGGATAAACACAAGAGGATTCTTGTTAGCTTCCGGGGGCAGGGCTCCCGTGAGACTTAATCCAAGATGATGCTGTCAACGCTGTGAAGATGCCAGAAGGGCTAAGGAGGGGATCAGCATCCCGGGAGCAATGTGGCCTGTCCTCACGCTATCTGTCAGGGGAAGAGGAGAAGGCAGCAGCCAGGAAATAAAGAGCAATCAGCAAAGAGCCGAGAGGGAGAGTCGGGGATTAAAGAGAGAGCTCAAGACACAAGAGAGGCGGGAACGTCTGGAGCGGCAGATTCAGCTCCCAGCTCGGGGTGACAAGTGGAGATTGCCTTTGACCTTGGGTAGTGCTCCGTGCTCCAGGGAGCCCCACAACCTGCAGGGGGGCATCAGGCTGCAGACAAGCAGAGCCATGGGCTGGCACAGCAGGAGGCTGGGGGGCAGGAGCGACGGGTGTTGGCAGAGCCGTGGGAAGCCCAGGGCTGGCACAGCAGGAGGCTGGGGGGCAGGAGCGACGGGTGTTGGCAGAGCTGTGGGAAGCCCACGGCTGGCACAGCAGGGCAGGATTGAAGGCATCCTCAGAGCCGTGGGGGAGGGGGAGACCCTGGCTAAGGCTTGCTTACGTGAAGTGGCAAATACCATTGCAGTGAAGGGCTAAGGGTTCAGAGGGACCGCTGCTTAATCCCTGCTGGGGAAAGCTTTCCGGGGAGGAGCGGGGGCTGTCTGTATCCGTTCACCTCTGGGATTTCTCTCTCTCCCACCGCAGCTTTTGCCGCTCCTATACGAGACGGGGAACGCCCCATACCAGAACTGCCAGCTGCAGCACAAGCTGGAATGCCTCACTGAAGCAGCCTCACAGGCCTGCAGCCGGGAGATCCAGGTAGGCGGCCGGACTGCAGGGGGTGCTGTGGTTCTTGCCGATCAGCGACGAGATGGCGCATTGGGCGACGCCACCTGCCTTGGCGTGATCTGATTCAACAGGCTGAGTAAAGCTTGTAAAGCGGTTCCTGGTGTCTCTGCTAGGCAGGAGGAGCAATCTCCCTCACTTCACCCCCTTCTCGCACCTTTTGGCCACGCAGAGGGGTGCTGAGCACCCGTCATTCACCTCCATGTCAGTGGGACCGGGCCCGTGCGCTGCTTGCTTCCCTTCTCCGGGGCGCCCTGAATTAGCCGTGCAGTCAGGGGGGTGAGGCCAGGTGTGGGTGGCACTGCCCGGCTGGCTGGCAGCAGAGTCCATTGGTCTGCCCCTGACTGGGTGCTCAGTGCTGCACGGAGGGGAGTGAGGCTGGGAGCCCAAACGGGAGCACTTGATGGTGCATTTATGGGGGCCGTCGCCCACGGCCCCTTGGGATGAAGGCTTTTAGCTCCAGGCTTTTCCTTTACTTTTCTAGCTCCCCCCAGTCTTTCTGCTGCATCGTTCTTCCTGCGCCTCCCATCGGCTGTGCAGCCGATTCCATTCGCCAGCGCTCTGGGGCTAGTGCCAGGAACTCCTGGGGGTGAATCTGAAATCATCCCACTGCCCTCTGCACAGGCGTGCGGATTTACCTGGGCTTTTCACTGGTGTAGCAGAGAGAAGAGCCTGGCCCAGAAGGGCAATTCTGGAGCTAGCCTGAAGAGGGCAGGCTCTCAGCCAGCGCTCCCTTCTGCAAGGCTGTCATGCTGTAGAGCTGGGGGAGGCAACCTATGGCACACATGCCAAAGGCGGCACGGGAGCTGATTTTCAGTGGCACTCACACTGCCCAGGTCCTGGCCACTGGTCCGGGGGTGTCACAGAGTGTGGGGGGACGCAAGGCCCTGCACCCCCGGCTTCCTGCGATTCACCATGACTCTCAGCCAGCCAGTAAAGCAGAAGGTTTATTTAGACGACAGGAACACAGTCCAAGACAGGTCTTGCAGGCACAGACAACAGGATCCCCTCCAATTAGGTGCATCTTGGGGTCCCAGGGCCCCACAGCCCCCTTGGCTGGTCAGAGCCCCGTCTGCTTCCCAGCCATTCTACCAGCCAGCTCTGACCTCTCTCCCCAGCCTTTGTTCCGTTTCCCGGGCAAAGGTGTCACCTGGCCTCTAACCCTTTCTGGGTTCTCATGTTACATGCTCAGGTATTCTCTCTCACGGCCAGTCTCCCATCCCCCAATGCAGACCGTCCTAGCCACACTCCCCTGCTTTCCCAGCCAGCACTCCCCACTCAGCATTCAAAGACCACATTAAGAACGGTCCCCGTTCATCACAGGGGGGGCTCTGCATTTGAATTTAATTTTAAATGAAGCTTCTTAAACATTTTAAAAACCTTATTTACTTTGCATACAACAATAGTTTAGTTCTATATTATAGACTTATAGAGAGAGACCTTCTACAAACGTTAACATGTATCACTGCACGCGAAACCGTCAATCAGAGTGAGTAACTGAGGACTCGGCACAGCACTTCGGAAAGGTTGCCGACCCCTGCGTAGAGCCTGTGCCTGCCCCCCCCTGCCCCAGGGCTCAGCTCTAGCTAAAAGCACTGAGAGGCGCTATGTCACAGGGGCTTACCCAGCTGGGGATCAGTCCTGTCTGCTGCCTCCGTGTCTCTTGCTTGAGATCCCCAAGAACCTCCCCTAGGCTCATGTGTCCAATAACATCCCCCTGCGGGCTGGTGTACTAACAAACACACAGACTCACCCCAGCTGGCTGCAGCTCTCCGCAGGCCCTCAGCCAGGAGAGAGTCTCTGAGCAAACTCTGGCTGCCAGTGTGTTCCCCAGCAGGCCTGGCTGTGCGGCACATGCTCCCATCACATGACCCCTGGACTGGGAGGTAGGCTGCAGTTGGCACAGGTCAGGCTGAGCTCCAGCCCGGGCTGTGACACCCTGTACATTTGACAGAGCCCTTGGCATTGAGGGAAGTGTTAGTTCCGGCCCAAATGGAACTGCTGCTGTGCAATCAAATCCACAGGGTTTTTTTTAACAACAAACCCCAAAGGGTTTGAAACAGAGGGAACAGACATTAGTTCCCTTCCCAGCCAATCAGGTTTCACTTTCTTGGGAGCTGTGATGTCATAAACCTCCTAGTTGGGGGACAACACCTGAATTTCAAACAAACAAAAAAACCTTCCATGCTGCCCTCATCCATCAGAAAGAAGGGCACAAGCTCTGTTGGTTTCCTTTGCAGGTCACCTGTAATACAGAAGTCTGGAAGGTAGAGGGTACGGGTCCAGCATGCATTGTTCTGTCTTGGACTTGCTGGGAGACCATTCAAATCATGATGGAGCATTGCATGAGGGGACATGTGGTCTCCATATTAAAAATCAGGACAGCCCACAATCCAGAACTCAGCGGCCCATGTGGCCCCCTGGCTGCTCTTGACACGTTTGCTTTAAAGGACTGGGAGGTGGAGGAATGTTTGTGTGCACTGGGGTAAGCACATAGCAGGTGCCTAGGTCATTGAACAAGCTGTGTCCTATCGAGTGATCCTCCTTCAGTGCCTCTCCTCTGCTTTGATTTATGGCTCAGGCTATTATGCAGGCCGTGCTGGATACCACCCAGAATCTGTGTCCTACCATTCTGCAGAAGAGTGGCGTTCGGGACCGGCTGGTCCACACGATCTCTGAGCGAATCATCCTTCAGGATCACCTCCACCTGAGCGCCGTCTTGGACCAGCTGGTCACCGATGTGTTCAGCAAGCTAACGTGAGTGAGACAGTCTCTAGTTTTTGTCACGTATTTGAAGTATAACCCACAAAACCAGCCAGGTCAGCCAGGCGCAGCAGCTGCTCCGCTATTGCTGGGGAGCAGCTACGGCACGTAGCCGAGATGAATTACTCCAGCTGGCACCAGGCCTTTGCGTCACTCCTATCCTAGACAGCAGCACCAGAGGAACAAGCTGATACGAGGCATTTCTGTCGTGCTGTGACTTTACACAGCGCTTTACAAACGTAGATCCGGCGCGGTCCTTGCACCGAAGAGCTTGCAGTGTAGGGGCAGGTGTACACGTACAACGCTGCATTGGCATGGCTGTGCTGCTGTAGGGCTGTAAGGAAGATGCTCTATGCCGACTGGCTCAAGGGTGCAGATTTCTCACAGCCCTGAGGGACGTAGTTATGCCAGAGTAATTCTGTAGTGTGGACCTGCCCTAAATAAGGCAAGCCAAGGCCTGGGGCAGCAAGGGTGTGGGGCCTGCTGAAGAGGCACAGGGAGAGGGCGGGGAGGAGCAGCTGGGGGGTGGGAGCAGGGCGGATGTTGGTGCATGCCCTGAAGAAGGAAAAGGAGGCAGAAGCCCAATCTCTACGCTCACGTGCATGTATAAATCCAGAGTAGCTCCCTTGTCCTAACTGGGAGCAGGATCTGCCCCCAAGGGGATCATTAAGTGAGAAAACTGGAAAGCACGTGGGGCCAGGGGACCAGAGCATAGCGGTAGAGTGGGGGAGGTGACGGGGTGAGGACAAGGAGATCAGTGTGAAAGACGTGGATTTTAATATCGATTCCCTGGATGTGCTGCCACCTCCGCTCTTCTCCGGCTGCCTGCAGCCGCCTAAATCACGCACCGGCTGAGCCTGACAACCGCTCCCGAGCACAGGGAACGTCATCAGCCAGAATAACGGGGGTGTGGGAGGCAGCTCCTGCTGCTGAGTTGTAACTAGCCGGGGCTGTTCCCCGTGGCCAGCCTGGCAGGCTGGGCAGCACAGAGTGAGGGGCAGCCCGCCGAGCTGCGGCTCTAGGACCTTCCAGCCTGTCATTGTCCGTGGGATTCCTGTCAGGCAGCTGAGCCTTACGGCCCTGCGCTTCCCAGAGCCCTGCCCGCTCTGACGCGGCCGTGTGACACGTGTCACGCAGGGACTCCCCAGGGCAAACCAGGGACACCTGGAGCAGCGACCCGGCTGGCAGGGCAAGTCGGCACTTGCGCGGGTGACGTTTCGTCACAGTTTTACATCAGCCTGGCCAAACAGTAATAGCTCAGGCCTCGGATCTGCTTGCCCGCCTTCCCCCAGGAAGAGAGGGGAGCTGGTGTTTTATTCGTCTGTCAGAAGAGCAGGGTCGCCCCGCAGTGTATGGAGATAAACCTGTCTCATAGAGCTGGAAGGGACCCTGAAGGGTCATTGAGTCCAGCCCCCTGCCTGCACTAGCAGGACCAAGTACTGATTTTGCCCCAGACTCCTAAGTGGCCCCCTCAAGGATTGAACTCTCAACCCTGGGTTTAGCAGGCCAATGCTCAAACCACTTGCTCACCACATATGTAGTGAGCAAGTCCAGTGTAGCAGGGACCCCAATGCGGCTCCCTGCCTGGGCCAGCGTTCGTTGGCCTCCACTGGGATTTGCAGCTGAAGTGACAGATGACTGCTGTGGTAGCATGTTGTATTGGGCAGGCTGCTCCCTGGCACCAGTCTCTCCCCTCTCTGCATGTCAGGGTGTGGGCCTCCTCCAGAGGCTCTGCACCGTGCGTGTGGGGCAGTCCGTGATGTAGGACTATTCCCTTCTTCGCATACCCCCCAGCCTCCTTGCCCTTGGACTAGCCCAGCCAGCACCCCGCTGGGAAGGGCCATGTGAAAGGAGGATAAATCAGAGCAGAGTTCTCAGGCCAGGGCTGCTGCTTCACGGAAACTGGGTGCGTGAATTCTGTCGGGGAGTCAGACCCCATCAGGCCCTGTGTGGCTGATAACTCACTCCCACCATAACCTTGGGGGCGTCTGTCTGCAGGGCTAAATGGCTGGGCAGCAGTTCTCAGCTGCAGTGATTGGCTCCCCAGCTCCTACAAGTAGGCCTGGCTGCCCTCTCCAGTTTGCTGTCTCTGAGCAAACGTATTTCATGTCCCCTGTGCAAACAAAATGCAGCCCCATTCCCCTCTAGCAGGTGTTCCCGGGCGTTCCCCTTATAGGATAGCTGGACCAGCCCCAGGCCTGGGCTTAGCGCTCATGCCAGCCTTTGATCTTCCTTTAAGGAACTAGGGGCTTGCTCCTGAGAGGAGCAAAGCATCTACCCCTCAGCACCCTTCAGGGTCGCATCTCAGATCCAAACAGAGAATAACAGCATCCCTCATGCGGTGGATGCAGCCTCCCAATTCAAGGGGTGCATTATACCACATCTAGCCCTGCTTCCCCCATTCCCCGGGGTGGGCAATTGCCATTGCAGCCCAGAGCAGGCAAAGCCAGTGGAATGGGCATCCCTGCCCCAGTGGTGGTAGCACAGGCTCCCTGTGCCTCCCCTCGCCCCACAGCTCCCTGCTGGCTGGACCAGAACAGCCTGGCTTGCACTTCCCTGCACTGCCCAAATCCTTACCCACCCCATGCTGGCTCAAGGCTTCCTGCCAGGCCCCCCCGTGCAGATTCTGGATCTGGGCACTCAGCCACATGCGATGCATGCATGGGAGTTCCCAGGTGAGTGCTAACCAATCGAGTGCGCTCACAATCCTCTCTCCTCGGCAATCCACACCTGTGTTTCAATAACTGCTGGAGTGGAGTCCCTGACAAAGGAGTGCAGCATCGTTGTCCCCATTTGACAGATGGGGAAACTGAGGCAGGGAGGTGCAGTCACACGGTGAGCGTGTGGCAGAGTTGAGCCTAGAACCTGGGACTTGTAGGTCCCAGTCCCCTGCTCCATGCCCTAGACCAGGCCCAGGTTAAGGCTTCAAGGTGTGTCAGTTGAAACAGCTTTTCTTAAATAAACAGGAAGTTGGTACCTTGGCACTCCCCCTGTCCCCGTGCCCCATTAGCTGCTGTAACACAACCGGCGACACTCGTACTGTGATATACACTCTATTCCTCCCCAGCGGGAATGACCTCGGACTGATGTGACAGAATGTAAATGGTCCTGCACCTAAGCTCTGGTCAGAGCTTCCAGATGGGGCTGGCCCTTGCTCTGATCTCGAATAACTTCTAGGCCTCAGTTACGGTGTCAGATTGAGACAGGCTTGACGCTGGGCCCGCAGTTCATGTTCCCTCCTTGGGTTAATTGCACGGAGGGTCTTGTGGGAGCTGCTTCCTGGGAACCCGTCCCTTCACTTTCCTGCCGTGCAGAAGGCTGAGCTGTTCCTCTGCCACAGGGCCTGGGCTGTGGGGGGTGACTCTGATTCCCCCCTTTCTGCCTGTGCCCCACTGCCTAGGAACCAAGTGCAGGCGATGTGCGGGCAGCAGCTTTGGCATGAGCAGTGTGTGTTGAGGCAAACTCTGCGTGGGTCTGCCCACTCCCTGCTGCTTGGCGGAGCGGTGCCTGGCGCCGCTTTCCCTTTGGCGGGGCAGAGAGCCCAGCTGGGGTCTGTGCTTGGGCCAGACCCTGGTCCTGTGGGTGCCTGTTGCAGGGACCACACGCCCTAGGGCTGCCTGGCAAATCCGCAAGCTGCTGGAATGGTCTGTGTCGGCTCTGCGGTTCCTGGCTCACTGTCAAACGTATTTGGGTCTGGAGAGCAGCTGTCACCCGCCACAGCCCAGCCTGAGCTTGCAGGGCCGGGCACAGCCCTGGTTTATAGGGCAGTACAAGGTCTAGTGCCCTCAGCCCCCTGGCCACCTGAGCGAGGGCAGGATGAGGCGGGGCTCTGGCCTTGTCCTTCTCCCCTCAGATTAGCCCGCAGTGCAGGGCTCCACCTTGGATGGGGTCGAAGACTTTCCTCCTCCGGCACCCCAGGGGCTCCCTCGGGGTGGTGCACCACCCCCAGCACGTCTGGGGAGCTCTGACCCTTCCCGTGGGGCTGCCCAGGCAAGGGGCTTGGAGCCCCTTGGAGTAATTAGTGCATGCAGAAGAGGCCGGTCTCGCTATCCCCATGAGCGGGAGGCCGAGGCGCGCTGGGAATCTGCGGCAGGGCTGGGGACGGATCCCAGGGCCGGTCAGGGCATTTCCTCCCCGCTCTCCTGGCTTCCTGTCCTGTGGCCTCGCCCCAGCGCCAGCCTTGCCCTCCACACTGCCTGGCAGGCTCTCTCCAGCGCCGGCTGCAGTGGCTAGAGGCTAGCTTGGCTTGTACTTCGAGGTGAGCTCTGCGGGGCAGGAGCTGTGTGTGCAGCGCCTGGTGCCACGGGACCCAGCCCACGGTTCGGGCTCCTGAGCTCTAGTGCGGTGCAGAGACTGTGTGAGAGCAGGTGGGGGCCTGGTTAGCCCTGCCTCCCGGCCTGTTCTCTTGCATCTGCCCTGGCTGCAGCACTGGCTTGCTGGGACGGGAACTGGCTGCTGTGGCCTTCCCTCTCCCCTCTCCCCTCCGCTGCTCCCAGGGCTGGGGGGCTCAGCCCCGCCGAGGGCTCCCCCCCACCGCACTAACCCCCGTCTCCTCTCGCAGCGAAATCAGGCTGTCTGTCATTGCGGCCGTGGCCAACGGGCTGATCGACGAGGTGCTGGAGGACCTGACAAGTGCTCAGTGCAGGCTGGTGAGTGGCCTTGTTTGTTGTCTCCTTCCTCCGGGGCCCTGCCTGGCAGAGAGGTGTCAGCATGAGCGCACAGCCTCTCCCTTCTGCTCCTAGTGCTGGCGGCCACACGGGGGCCCAGTTCCTGGCGTGGGCCCGGGGGTCTCAGGGTGCCCACTGTACTGGTGGGGCTAGACTGGGCTTGCCTGGCACGGGGCAGCTGAGTGCAGACTCTCCCCTGCTGCGGTCCCAGGCAGCTGCCAGGGCTAGCGCCCACAGCCATGCCAGCCTTCGAAGGGGGCAAGGCTGGAGCTCTGGCTCTTGCCTCCTCTCTGTGGTCTGCACAGGGTGAGGCAGCTGGGCCCTTCCGAGGGCCCCAGAGGCACCAGGCCTGCCTCCGACCCGAGTCACTAGGCCTGCCTCCGACCCGAGTCACCGCTCCACCACACTCCTCACCAAGGGCTCTGACTTAAAGCCACAATTAACCCCTGGCATGCCAAGGCCATGGCCTTGGGCATTGCCCAGTCTAGTGACAGGGGAGCAGCTGTTCTGAACAGGGGCTGCAGAGTTTCCACTCACTGCTTTTCTCCTGGGCCGGCTTCTCCCCCAGGCATCCCCCTCCCCAGCAGAGCAGCTGGGCTTCTTGCCCTCCCCTTGCTATGGCACCATCCCAGGATTAACCCTTTGGTGCTAGTTGTCTCCTGCCCCTTTCGGTGCGAGGGCCAGGAGCCGCCCCATGGCTGAGAGCGGTAAGGAATCGCCGGGGAAAGCCGACACCAGCTGGATTTGTGCCGGGTCCCCTTGTCTGAAGTGGGCTCTGCTGGCACCACAGCTGGGCTGCGAGGGGGAAGCTTTGGCAGGCCAGAACCCTGCTCGCAATAGAAACATGGATGGCACGTCACTGGAGCGCATAAGGAGCAGGGCATTATTATACATGAATGTGCCCTGCCATGCTTCATCGGGGGAATAATTTAAGTGCTACCTAATGGTTTTAGGCAGAAAATCTCCCCAAGCAAACTCCGGATCTTCATGTGCTACAGGCAGACAATCCTGAGGAGGACGATTTTCTGCTAAAGAAGAGCAGGAATCTGCTGGATGTCGCTGAGCAAAGCTTTGCAGCTGAGGAGGTCTGGCTTGGTTTCCTTCTCTCCCCTTCATGCCGATGTCCAGGTTGACACAGTGGGTTAAAGATATTAAATCAAGATCCAGTAGAAGGAGATGTTAAACCTTTCCCTGAGCTCGGAGCAATATTTACTGTGCTCAAGGGGGGCTGATCTGTCCAGATGAAGACAATTAAAATAACTGCTGGTATAATCGTTCATAGATTTGGGTGGTTCTCTGGGAGTGTTTGGGTTTTTATAGCCTTCCTGGGCCAGGATCAAACTCCATTGGCTTTGGGAAGTTAGGCACAAAATGACCTGTATTTGCTGCAGGTGGCTTTTGACAGGTTCTAGCATCAGAAATGGGCCTGAGAAATTGCCATATAGTCCTCAGATGCAGCAGCCAAGCAGGGAGAAATGTTTTCAGCCACAAGGGACCTGCAACAGCTCTGCTGGGGGTCTGCGTAGATATGGTGTAATGATAAAATCCAAGAGCCATAGGTTTCAGGTGTGACCAGTCCTCATCCCATCTGGTCCGTTCAGATGCTGTGCAAGTGTAGCTAACTGTGCATTCGGAGCCCATTTTAAACTGCAAATGTGTCAGGCCCAAAGCCTGTAATGCAGCTGCCAGATTTTGTTTTGTAATCGTGGCTTTTGCCATCTCAGCCCCCTCCAAGGCCTGGTTATTCGAGGCTGGCGAATAGACTCGCTCTCCACTTGCAATTAGCCCCGCACACGTTTTGCAGAGCACTGCACACTGAAAAGCAACATCTCCCCCTCTCTCTGCAGTATAAGATGGCTCTGAGGAGGAAAAACAAGCACTTCAGGAGCATCCGGCCCACGCCTGCCATGAGAAGTAAGGCCGATACAGAGACATTTTCTGCTTACAACCCTGTCTTGCTGTGAGTCAGTGGCTACTCTGACATCTGCAGGGTTGGTCATATGTAGGAGTCCATTGTGACATCACAGATAATATCCAGGTGTCTATCATCAATCCCTGGCAGTGCAGGTGTCCGACGACTTAAATTCTGGGAGGGCGGGTGGATGGAGGGGCCACAGAACCTAACTGAGGACAGGAGACAGACTCTGGCCAAAGAGGGATGGGGTGCAGGTCAGATGGTCAAAATACAGGGACACTGAGCAGAGAGGCCCGGAGAATGCCCGCTGCCCTAAGGAGGAATCCCAGGGGGCAGTGAACGTTGCCCAGCGGAACTCTGCCAGGGTATGCACAGGTCCCAGCCCCTGGCCAGCCGCGGAGCAGTCCTGGGATGGTGGTGCCAGTGACAGTGGCTAGTACTCAGCTCTCGGTCTCCTTGGTGCGGTTTGTGGTGGTGCATTTCAGTTATGGGCTCTAGAGACTGGCCTAAGACTGCAGGGTTGTTTCCCGCGGGCAGCCAAATAGATATGGGGTGGGCCTGACTTTTGACGCCTAGTGTGGTCTGGTTGGCGCAGACATTGCCCGGCCCCTGAACCAGACACAGGCTGCTTCTCCATTGAAGAGCTTTTTGGTGACTTGCCGCATCTGGATCTAATCCTGCTCCAATAGAAGTCAATTGTAAAACTCCCATTGACTCCAATACGAGCAGCACTAAGCCCTCTGCCCCAGCCATCTTGGGGCTTTGGCATTACCGGTTTCACTGGTAGCCTCACACCAGGTGTTGCTTTTGAGTCACGTTGCGACAAGTCACCCGAGCCATGTCAGAATTACCCACATGGCTGTTGGCGCCATGTGGATGCAGATGTGGGAAGGGATCTCACTTGCCTTTCCACCAGCTCGCACGGCTCCTGGCTCCAGAGAGCCAAACTCCACAGCTTCTGCGGGACAGAATGAACCTGGTATCTCTCGTGTGTGTGACCAATCCCAGCAGATCAAAGCCGCGCTTCCTTCTGTGACTGAGAGACAAACGTCTTGTTGCCTTGTCCCCAAAGGCTCCTTCAACACCTTGTGGTCACAGCCCTGTATTTTAGCCTGGTTTAGCTTCCAGGCCTCCGGATCAGCAGCGGGCTTGGTGCCAGTCAGCCTGGGACAGTGCTGGCATCACCGCCCATGTGGGGTCCTGCTGGCCCAGTTGGTCCACCTGCCCCGTGCTGTGAGGTGTGGTTTTAAGTTCCCCTCGAGGCGTAGTAGGAAGTGCCGGCTCCTTGTTTAGCATAAAGTGCCTGGGGCCAGTGACTGGAGCTATTGTAAGGAATTGTGAAATGAGATGAAACCCCTCCTTTCCCAGGATGCCCTGGGGCAGCCCCATGAATATCTGCTTAGAAAGGCGCACATGCGGTTTTCAGCTCTCTCTGAGTAATAACCCCGTGTGAGGCCTTTGTGACTCATGGCTCTGCTCTGGGGTGAGGAGAGAGACTTCCCGAGCCACGCAGCCCTACCGCTGAGCCCCGTTGCTGCCTGCTGGAGCCCCAGGTTCATTTAGGGCTTGGGAGAATCTGAAAATCACTGCTAGTGCTTTGTCCCACGGGGGGAGCGTTTCCCATTGGCTGGGACTGTAGAAATAAGCTTTATCTGATTTAGCCCACGGACAGTTGCAGGGAGATGTTACTACTTCCCTGCTCTGAGGGGAGGGTCTGTCCAGTGCACCATGTAGATCAGGTGGCTGAGTCTCAAACGATGGTAGAACACACGCTGAGAAGCTGCGGTGCTCGGGAGAGATGGGCGTGGCTGCCATCTCCCCATGGCGACGCTGGCAGAGCAGCTTTTGTCAGCTCCAGGTCGTGTTGCTCAGAGACGTCCAGCTGGGCCTCACCTCAGAGGAGAGCTGGGCAGAGGTGGCCAGAGTGTGGCCCTGAGCTACCTGCCCCCTTGTTCACCTTCCATACGGAGGGGAAACCCATGGAGACTGCGCTTCCCAGCATTCATTGCTCCATTTTGAGCTGAGGGGGTGGCTAGGGGTGGACAAACTCACCTGAATCTTTCTCCTTCCCAGGCACCAAACCTGGCCTAAACCTTCCATCAGCTGGTAGGGAGGGTCCCAAACCAGAGAGCCATGCGAGCAGCCCCCAGTTACCCTGGCATTGGGAGCAGCGGTCTGTGAGAATGGAGCCAGCCTGATGGCTTTGTTGAGACCATTTCTCTCCATAGCTGTATCTGTCCTGTCTCCAGGCAGGGACCGAGTGGCCTGTTTCCAGGCTGTGTGCTAACAATCCACTCCATCCCTTACGTCCGGCTACGCAGCAATCACAGGTGTGTTTGCAGCATGTGTAGCAGACCCGAGCTAGCGCTGACTGAGCCAACTTGCTACAAATAGCTGCCTGCGTACCAATCTGGGAGCCTGGGCACGTAGTCGGGTGGCTAGCTCATGCCACTGTGGCTGTGCTGCTGTTTTCAGTGAGCTGGTTTGACCAAAGCCCATGCCTGCCTGGGCTGCAGTCACCCGCCGATTGCAGCGCAGAGAGAGCACAGGGAGGTTTGGAGCAGGTCAGCCCCAGGCGTTATTGCCACAGAACCTGGCCAGCTGGAAAAATGGATTTGCTTAAAGGGAAGCTTTCAACGAGCAAAACATCCTGTATGAATATCCTCACCCAACAGCTTTGTGTGCCGGAGTCACTGTCTGCTGCAATGTAACAGGAGCAGAACCTCCCCCAAGGGCGCTTAGAGCTGGAGGGAGGAAGGCCTGGGCTGGGCTCCCCTGTGAAGCTCTGACCCGTTGCTTTGCAGTGAAAGGAGAAGGTTTGACTGGGCCAGGATTGCAAACGTCCCAGGCTCGAGCTGCATGTGTCCCTCTCCAAGGAGTGGAATCCCTCTCTGCAGCCTACGCCCCAAGCCGCTGCTCCTTCAGGATCCTGCCTCCCCCAGCTCCCTGATCTGGGCCTGATGGGGGGAGGGTTAGCCCTGAACCCCAACTATTGGTGTCCTGTCCATCATTTATTCTGCCCACGTGATGGAATAAACGAGCCAACAGGGAGGTTGGGTGCATGTGACTCTCTCACACTCACACACCTTAGTGAACTCAAGGGGTTTCATTGCAAATCCAGCAGCTGGGAATGTGCCCTGGGTGTGGGACCATTCCTGGGGATATCCGCTGAGTGCGTGGCACTCTGTCTTTTGGGGCAACTGTCAAACAGCTGTGGTTCCTTGTTTCATGGTGACGCAAGGATAAATCCAGGAATTGCTTGTAGAAGGTTCCACGTTCTGCCTTCACTCCAGCGGTTTTCCAAGCTCGTGTGGGCGAGCCAACCCAGTGGAGATGGCTCCCAACAATGTCAGTGAAGGAGGCAGCATCTGATGGCATTTGGCCTGCCTTCCCCTTCCCTGCATGCTGTGCCTTGCCATGGGCTGCTGCAGCCCTGACAGTTTGTGCTGGGAAGCCAGGCTCCTGGGGACAGTATCGCTTGACAGGAGCTCACTGGAGGAACGAGGAGGAGGTGGTGACCCTTCCTCTGTCACATTATCCGTCAGGACCCGGGTGTTTGGCAGAAGCAGGGTCCAATCCTGGCGTGATTCCGAGTCTTGCTCCGGAGGGATTCGCTGGCTGTGTATCGCCCAGCCCAGTGACAGCGTCATGGGTCCCACCGTGGGAGAGAGTGTTGACCATCGGGGCCCTGAATAGGCCCCAGCGCACAGTGAAGAAATCCAGAGACAGGAGCAGCCTCTGTAATGCAAATAAAAGCAGCCAGAATGCCGCCTAGCCCTTGCTGCTCTAACAACAGGCACCGACTCTGCCACCTGCCCTCAGCCGCACAGCATCTGCAGCGTCCGGATTTACCTTTCCTGGCAAAAATAGAAGCAGCCCCTGGATTTCCACTCAGCTTTATGCCTGGGTCTCCGTAGCAATGCGTTCACGCTGCAGGGTATTTATTCCCACGCCGGCTCTGGGGCGTTTTCTTGTCAGATTTCCAAGGTTTCTGCTTGTGTTTTTTCCCAAAAACCTTTTGTTACTTGAGTTACTTTGGGCTGCAAGAGGACAACTCTGCAAAGGACCAGATCATGCCATATCTGTTAGCATTGCCCCTGCAGCCGCAGGCCATATCCAGAGCTGGCCAGTTGGCTAACAAGCTTCCTTGCAGTATGCATGGGTCTAGCCCCTTCTGCTCCAGAGTGGGGGGCTGTGCTTGGGGAGTGGGGTTGGCTGCCCCGGCAGCTTGTAGACTCCTGGGGTATGTGCTGCAATGGGGCAGCATAGCTAGGCCGTGTACCATTTCTAGCACGTGGGGTCTTGGTGTTACCACAACCAGCTAGAGGACAGCAGCCATGGAGGAGCACCGGTGGCTCCTCTTACTTCCCACTTACTGGAAGACCGGGCTCTGGTGTTCGAGCATTCACAGCTACCAGTACTGGGATTATACCTGCCTCTAAAAACAAGGAGCTGACAAAGCTCACGGCACCTTCCGTTCTCTCCTCAAGGGCAGAGAGTGTCTTTTGCCGGTGAGTGGGACACGACGGGGCGCAGGAGTTAAACTCATTCCAGTGGGGCTGCTGGTCCCTGCTCTGTGGGGAACGGGCTTCTCTTTGCATCTCCATGCGTGGGCTGGCAAAGGTTGGGAGCAATCATGGAGGCAGTGTGCCCAGCCTGCAGGAGAGGGAGTGAAGCAACCTGCCAACTGGAAGGTGGAACCTAGGATGTTAAAGGAGGAAATAGAGGTCGCTTGGGCCTGTGAGCTCCACGAGCCCCTTAAACGTACACTTGCCAGTTATAAGGAACATCAGAATGGCTGTACTGGGTCAGACCAATGGTCCATCTAGCCCAGTGTCCTGTTTTATGATGCCAGGTGCTTCAGGGGGCATGAACAGAACAGGCAATCATCGAGTGATCCATCCCCTGTTGTCCGCTTCCAGCTTCTGGCAGTCACAGGCTAGGGACACCCAGAGCATGGGGTTGCATCCCTGACCATCTTGGCTAATAGCCACCGATC